TAACATGAGCCCTCATGTGTGGCGAATTTTCAAGGCTAAAGCGTGGAGAACACAAATCGGGTGACATGAAGCATGTGTAGCTGTTGGGCTTCACACATTGGACGACTTGCTATGATACCATTGGGGGTGCAACTTGAGTTGGGCCAATCCGAACCTGCTCATGTTCAACCCGACCTTAAACCCGAACAAGTGCGTTTTTTTTAGTTATAACCCACCCGAACCCAACCCAATTTCAACCCGTTCATTGATTGGGTTGAGTTGGGTTGATCATTTGCTTGTCCATCCCAATTTCAAAACAATTTATATTGTTTGGTATACTTCTTTTCTCTGTGTAAAAAAGTTATCACAGTTTGATTAAGAGACTTAAGTTCAAAAATGCCGTATTTCATTTCACTGTGTACTGGTTATTTTCTCAAATCTATAATTTACAGATTTTTTTATTTTTATTTTACATATATTTAGGGTATGTATGCATAGCATAAATGTAATGAGGTTTACCAAATTCTTCCAAGCATTGCGTGTATAAACGTTGACAAAGAATTACCCATTAAATTGGAAGATTAATAAGATAAGTTTTCTCCATGTCTAGTCCCTTCAAAATAAAAAAATCATTTACGTAAACTTAAATATGCAGTAAATTTTATGAGGTACCCAATCCATATACCATCTATTTCAATTCTAGTCACCTATCGAGATCAATATTGTTGATGTATACAACATGAAGTAGTGAGACTTCTTCTAATTGGATATGTAGGGAGTAGGAAACATACGTATGATGAAGTCTAGCATTCTAGAATTTTTGTATATTGACTGGAGACTTTGGAGACAATCGAATGACTTCAATCAGTTTGTCAAACCGTGTGGGTACGTACGTAGCTGTATGGACGCGCTCATTTAATACTAGCATCCTATTACGGGAATGGACACATATATCTTAGTCCTGTATAATGTATGTTTATCATAAAAAGTTTATTTGAAGATCATTTCTATAAAAAAAAATTTAATTATTTGAATCACAAATTATTTATTTATCCCAATGTGTAGAACATATCAACAGTGTGCGTACCAAGTAACATTGATGAATTGTACATTTATTTGATATATTTAAATGACTAAACGGTTTCATATTCAAATGTTTTTGTTTTTTTTTTTTTTTTGTTTGTAGATGATCTCCAAAGAAAGATTAAGAATTGAACAGCTCCGATTTTGGAATCCATCACAATGAGTGGTATATGTGCATTCCGTCATGGGGATGAAAGTATTTTCTAATAGAAATTTTTAAGTATACCTAGTACACAAGCCGATACACCACCTGTAATAATATAAGTGGAAGGAGACTGAAGAAAGATGATGTTCCACCATAAAACCAATTGGCAATATGAGTTATAGCCCAATTATTTATAAGCACATGCAAATCTTTCCCCGATGTGGGATTCATCAGCTCAACATGAGCCCTTATGTGTGACGAATTTTCAAGGCTAAAGCGTGGAGAACACAAATCGGGTGACCTGAAGCATGCATGGCCGTTAGGCTTCACACATTGGACGACTTGCTATGATACCATTAGGGGTGCAACTTGGGTTGGGCCAATCCGAACCTGCTCATGTCCAACCCGACTTTAAACCCGAACAAGTGCGTTTTTTTAGTTATAACCCACCCGAACCCAACCCAATTTCAACCCGTTCATTGATTGGGTTGAGTTGGGTTGATCATTTGCTTGTCCATCCCAACCCAACCCAACTGATTAACCAAACCCAATCTAACTAGATTATAACCCATATCAATTAATGTTCATACTACACCCAAGTGAGCCAAATCCAAAAAACAACGCCCTTTCTAATTTTTTTTTTTTAGTAAATTACCCTTTATAATTACTTAAGCTTTTAGGGAATAAGAGGCTTTGATTAGTCAGCCCATATTCGTAGTCTCTAAATCCTAAAGCTTTATAGTAGATTGATTTATGAAATTAAAGTTAGCTAGCTTTGATGTTACTTGGCTTAATTTTTTTAGGAATTCTTGGAACTAAGTTGTTACAAAATTAAACTTGAAAAAGTTGGGAAAACCAAACTCAACCCAAGCAAACCCAAACCCAATTAAACTTGAGCCCACATGAACCTGAATGAAACCCAACTCGAACCCGAGCCCAAGCCCGAATTGTAAAAGTTTGGTTAGGATTGAGTTGACCTTCTAACCCACCCGAGTTGTACCCCTAGATACCATGAAGAAAGTTGAGGTTCCACCATAGAATAAATTGGCAATATAAGGTGTAGCACAATATAATTAAGTACATGCAAAGTCCATTCTTTTTCTGATGCGAGAATCTTATTCTCAACAATATCATAACTCTACTTATATTATGGCATGTACCAGCTTGTTTTCTAGTATGTACAAGAAAAAAATCTCTCCTAATTATAACACGGAATGTACTACTTTATATTCCGACGGTACACTCTCAACGGTCTCCTACATTTTGACCTCCAACATTTTAAATCATTGTTTTTTGGTCATTCCAATATATTAAATTAAATTTAAGAAAGTTGCCTAAATTCAATCTCTTCAACGGTCAAGTAACTTTGAAGTTAATTTACTGTGTCATTTACTGCTTATAACTTTGACCTTATGTATAAGTTAATATCATATCAATTAACTAGGGTAGTGACATATAGAAGATTTGAATAGGGTGGAATATTGTTAGGTATGTTTTTGTGAAATGCAGAAAACATCTAATTGAGCTTGAAAATAAACAAAAACAAGAGTCAGCAGTGCTATCCAATCGGCTCGTTTATTGTATTTTATTTTGAAAAAAAATTCGGCTCCTTTATTTATTTGTTGAAAATTTCCTCCTTTTTTATAAATTTATATTATTCTTTGGCCAAATTTTTTTGGTGATCCTTGTGGTGATACTCTATTTTTAAATAGACCCATGTGGTGAAAAAGCTATTAATTATAATCATGTGGTGAAATTCGTTATCAATCATAGTCCAAATTGGATTTTTCCTCATTCTTCTGTCATTTGTAGGGGCAAAATTGTTATTTTCGTTTTTATTGATTCCATTAACCAATCATAAAGCACCATGTGGATATAAATTTTTCTTATTTTTAAAACTTTTAGAGCTACAATAAAAGAATAAATAAACAATAAAATTACAAGGTTCATATTATCAGACTTTCTCATTGCAAGAGAGTCAAGAGTCCAAATTCAAGATTTAAAAAATCATAAAGTACCTCGCCGCATTTAGATTAGAATATAAGTTATCATGCAAACATTGAATTTAGTTACATTTTAAGAAGAACAGTGGTGGACGGGATGACTAGGGTTATGTGAGAGAGGGGGGAAGACGGTGGGTGGTCGATGTGGCTGTGGCTGACAAGGGTAGGGATTGGGGAGGGATTTTTTTTTCCTTCTATTTTTGTTGATTGTAAAAAATTGGAATTACCAAAAGAAAAGAAAAAAAATGGAACGACCTTTTTACCCCTGCATGTGGATGAGTTTTTGACAGAAATTTCAATTTGGATTACGATTGATAATGAACTTTACCACAGGGTTAAGATTAACATTTTTTTCACCACAGGGGTCAATTTAAAAGTAGTGTCTCACCGTAGGGATCAAGAAAAAAATTTAGCCTTATTCTTTATATAAGGATAATATAAGGTTATAAAAAAAACTTTAATTAGTTGCCTAGTTGAATATTCTGAGCATATTTGATGAGCGTTTCAGCTGAATTTTCATCTAAGCAAGATACAAGCCAATAGTAATTCATGATATACATGATGAAATACTAGCATGCATGCATCCACAAGTTTAAAGAAAATGACAAAAATATTTCTTTTTTGGACTAAATATGTGAATATTTACATTTGAATGTGAACATTTAATTCAAAATCAATTAACAAAACGAGGGACATGACCATAAGTTTTCAAACTAATAGCTAGGGAAGGTTTCTATTCTCCAATATAGAAATTTTTGAGAAATTTCTCAAGTAGAAGGTGTTCATGTGCATTATCAATATAATGAAAAGATCTTGTCAAAACTAAAGGGATTCTTATTTCACAAATATTTTAGCTGGAAACTCACAGGTTTTAATCCGTTTTGCGACTATCTACAAAATGCCATCATAAAACCTTTTTTTTTTGTTACCTTCGCCCTAATCAAAGCTTCATATATGATCATGATCGGACGTTACAAAAGTGTCATGATCAACGAAACTCCCTTCTCACTAGCCATGTGTCTGGGCCCTGCTTGAATTTTATTTTATTTCTTAATTTTCAAGCTTAAAAGTTTAATACAAGGCACTTCTATATGTTAGCTCTTCTAAATTACTTATACTATTTTTCTTACAATGTTCACAAATTGGTTTAGATATAAATCAAAAAATTCTGTTTGACTCAATAAATGCTAAGGTCACTTCCAAAAGACTTTAAAAAAATTCCTTGCAATGCAAAAGCGTTTTCAATAACTCAACAATCACATTTTTCACAAAATAATATGAAGTATAACTCACAGTTTTTAATTAGTTTTTCAAAATTTTGCAAAACTAACATAAAACCTATTTTCGTGGTTTTCTCACTGAACCTTGAGATTCTTAAAATTCACACAGGACAATCAGGAGATGTACTCGCCAACGGAACTCCTTGGTCCGCCGACATTTTCTTATTGATTTTATGTTTTCCAGCTTAAACTTTAGTGAGAAACACTTGACTTACAAATGGTAAGTCCACTTGGTGAACGGCTTTTAAGTATACCTTAATGCGCAGGCAAAAATACTCTCATTTTTGACAAAAATTGCGAACAATAAAATCACGACTTTTAATTGGGTTTACGAAATTAAAGTCATACAAGGGTTACTACACGTAGGAACTTCATATATATCTCAAAAGAAAATAAAAGGAGTTTATTCCACATACAGTCTACATAAAAGATTCCCCCAAGGCATTAAAGCAATTAGGAGCTAGGACAATAATCTTGCGGAATGCAAGTCCACTGTTAGCTAGACATATTTCATGCATTAACAGCCCTGCAGTTCTTTCTGATCTCTCCAGCAGACCCAGTAAGAGGACTAATATTCCCCATCTTGATCATAGAATTAGCAAAATCAGCGAGGAACAGATTAAGATTTGAGTTATAGCTTTGGACCAAACTTTTAGTCCCTGTTGTCACAGCTTCATCACTAGAAAATAGAATTTGATCTGAACCTAGGAGGCCCTTCCCGTTAATCAAGTTCTGAAAGTAATGGTTGTCAAATAGATCAGTTGAATTCCGATCTAAAGGTGCGGTATTGTTTCCATCACTGGTCTGCGGACACCGATTCTGTAGATCAGTTTGCATGCTTTGTTCCATTGTACTATCAGGAGCACCTGTTCCTGAGAAGTTGAAGAGTCTATTGCTGAAAGTGGCACACCGTGCCAACCCAATTGTATGAGCTCCTACACATAATTAAACCCCTTTAACACATTAATCAACTGGTAGATTATATCAACTAATGATGTATTCGCTCTTAATTAAACAGCAGTGAAGAACATGACAAAATCTGAAGAACCTTATTCAGTATTTGGCCATTAGATAAAACATCAACATAGTTTCCCTCACTTTGATCAATTAGAATGGATTAAGTGTCTCAGATACTTACCCTCCCTTTCAAAATAGAAAGGACCGTGTCTCATGTTTGATGAACAATTAATGTAAGTGATCGATTAAATTGAATAATTTTACGACTAGAGAGAAAAGAAAAAAAAATTCTCCTTCCCAATGTTTTATTTGATGGGTCCGACCCAGTCCAATCTTTTCTAGTTCCGGCCATAAAACGAGATTAAAGACTAAAACCGCTAAAGATATTACTCTCTAATTACATGCTCAGAAATAAATATTTTATATTGTCCTCTCTGCATGCACACAAGAGAAGCACATGTGACTTAAATAAAGGATGTTGAAATCACTATAGCAATTACACATGTACCTGATAAGGACACAACGTCTCTGATATTTAGGCCCACAGCGGCAAACTTGGAAATGATGATATCTAGGGCTTCAGTTGGCGCAGGAAGTGCACTGTTTGCTCCTGTCTGATTTGCCACTAGACCATCTCTTCTTCCAAGTAGAACTTTCCATGAAGTTCCTCCACTCTGCAAAATGTGGCAATATTAGTATAATACAACATAACATGTTTAATTATGAATTAAGGATCTAAATAATAATGGCATGCATGATAGTGGATATTAATAAACATAATTAGCAAAGTTAATTAACTTACTAAGAGCACAGAATCTCTAGCAGCTATGGCTAGTATATCAGCACACGACACTACTCCGCTACATGAGCTCTCCACAGAGCTCTTGATTCTGTCAACGACTTCAAACCCTCTTGCTGAATTCAAATTTGGGCGGGCATTCTTCTCACTATCATTACCATCCAGTAACAGTGACGCATCACAACCCTACACGTGTACATGAAAGGGAGATCATTTAAAATTGGGAGGCCTATGAGCTGCAAATAAAAACTGTGATGCATGCATAAACAGAAATCGGTATATGAAAACTAAAATCACTATCTACGGGATCCTTAAGAACTCACATTGACAAAGCAGTCATGGAAGTGAAGCCGAAGCAAAGAAGCAGCCATTCGCATTTCAGACTTGACAGCATTCAGAACCTCTCTTCGGACAATTTTCAGAACATCCGGACATGTTGCGTTGTAGAAATCTGTACTTAACTGGGCTTTCGCGACAAAACACAAGGCAAAGAACGTGATCATTGCCAAAGAGTAACGACGGCTAAAATTAATCGATGACCTTGTCATGGTTACTAAAGAGATGACACACTCAATGCTAATCAATATGGTTAAGGGCTACTTAAGTTGTATGATCAGGCATTCCTTGAACTCCATTTATAGCCACGATAATGCGTAAAACAACAAATTTTTAATTAACTATACAGTAGTGTATAATTTTGTTTATCTATGTGAAAACTAGCTACTAGTGCTTATGATGTATGGCGGCAGCACTCAGTGCTTCACCGCTTAGTTGCCTTCATGAACTCAGAAAACGGCACTGAGAGTGTGAGACTGATATTAATTAGCATAATCTCAAGAGATTAGTGCATTTAATATTGCCGACAATGCGGATAACTGAAAGAGTGGTGGCCTAATTGCTCTCAGTTGTACGCATATAATATAAGAATTTGATTTCTATATGCAAGTTCATGAACGACAGAAGATTGGCACAGCATACTATATACAATATAGTGCATACCTACAGAAAGCCAAATGGTTTTTTGCTTCCACTTTGGCGCGCACATGATTAAATTATGCTTGCATTAGGAATTTTTTAACAATAAAATAAAGCTGAGCATGCAATATGACCATCTTAAAATTAAAATTATTTTCACTTGATCATAGTGATTTCTTAGTAATGGTCTGTAAAAATGTTAAGTTGGAATTGAAAGCATCTTTATCCCTGTTGATAAGAGTTGACATTTTGGGGTAGCATGCAACTCACAGAGTGCCATGTCTGAGGGCACTACATTGCGCCATTTTGTCTCTTCTTCTTTTCCTACCCCTGTTTCCTCCAATGAATGCAAAAGACCAACATTTTAGAGACTAATAGCAACTTCACGAAATTAAACATTAATTGGTTGAGCACCAAGTTTTTTCGACGTTTAATTATCGTTATCGGTACAGGTAAGCCCACGTTTTGTTGTGAAATTTACAAATTTTTTATTTTTGCAAAATATTTTCTATCATGATTAAGAATTTTTTACAAGGTACTTAATAGTGGTTTTATCATTTATTGAGCTGCAAAAAAAAAAAATATATATATATATATATAATATTAAAATGAAAGCAAAAAATAAATGGACAAAATTAATAGTGGGGCCCAAAACTTTGTTGAAATAGGACTCCATCCACAAGAATATCTACAAAAGGTCTTACATAAATTTTCAACGCCACGGTGTAGTGACGGTGAAAACATATAGATTTTATAACAATTTCTAAATAATTTTGCAAAACCCCCTAAAAACTGTGATGGTTAGCCCACATTTTTATAAATGCAACTTTTTTTTTAGCAAAATATTTTCCATAGTGATTAAGAGTAACATTAAAAGGCAATTGAAAGAGATTTTAGCATTTGTTGACTTACAAATGTATTTTTAATAGAATATTTAAGCCTTAAACTAAAAAATAAATGGACAAAAATAGTAGTAGGGCTCAATAGCATTGCTGAAACGGGACTACAGCTACAAGAATATAAACAGAAAGTCTTGCATGAATTTTAAAAACCTCACAGTGTGGTGAAGGTGAAAGCAAACAAGTTTTACAACGAGTTTTGTACAAATTTGTAAAATCCCTTGGAAACCGTGATAATGTCCACATTTTTTTTGAGAAAAATACAATATTGTTATTTTTGCGAAATTTTTCGATGATGATTAAGAGTCAATTTGAAAGCCAATGGAAAACGATTTTACCATTTATTGAGCCACAAATATATTTTTAATAGAATATGTAAGCCAAAAACTTAAAAATAAATTGAAAATTGTAGTGGGGCCCAAAACATTGCTGAAACAGAACTCTATCAACAAGAATATTAACAAAAAGTCTTACATGAATATTCAAAACCTCACGGTACGGTTAAGGTTAAAGAAAATAGATTTTACGATGATTCTTAAATTTGCAAAATAGCTTGGAAATAGTGAAGGTTAGCCCACATTATTTTAGAAAAATGCAAAAATTTGTATTATGCGAAATATATTCTGTTAGATTAATATTAACTTTATAAGGCAATTGAAAGAGGATTTACCATTTATTAATCCACAAATCTATTTTTAATAGAATATTTAAGACGAAAAACTGAAAAATGAATGGACAAAAATAGTAGTGGAGCCCAAAACATTGCCTAAACGGGATTGCATCTACAATAATATCAATAATAAGTCCTATATGGATTCTTGAAACCTCATGGTGCTGTGAAGTGAAAGCAAGTAGATTTTACGACGATTTTTGTACAAATTTACAAAATCGCCTAGAAAATGTGATGGTTAGCCCATGTTTTTTTCGAAACAAGAAAATTTTTATTTTTGCAAAATATATTTTCCTCATGATTAAGAGTAACTTTATAGTGCAATTGAAAGTAGTTTTACTATTTACTAAGCTACAAATATATTTTGAATTGAATATTTCAGACGAAAATTGAAAAATAAATTGACAACACTAGTAATAAGGCCCAAACAGTGCCAAAGTTGGACTCCATGCACAAGAATATCAATAAAAAAATCTTAAATAAATTTTCAAAACATCACGGAGCAGTGAAGATGAAAGCAAGTAGACCTTACAACAAGTTTTGTACAAATTTGCAAATTCACCTAGAAACCGTGATAGTTAGCCCATATTTTTTTTTTTATTTTTAGAAAATGTCATTCTTATATTTTTGTGAGCCAAAAATGTATTTTTGATAGAATATTTAAGTTGAAAACTAAAAATAGATTGACAAAATTGTAGTGGGGCCCAAAACATTACCGAAACAGGACTTATCCACAAGAATATTAATAAAAGTCTTACAAAAATTTCAAAAACTCATGGAGCAATGATAAAAAATAGATTTTACGATGATTTTTGTACAAATTTGCAAAATTGCCTACAAACTGTGATAGTTAGCCCACGTTATTTTGGGGAAAATGTAAATTTTTTGTTTTTGCAAATATTTTCCGTCATGATTAAGAGTAACTTTATAAAGCAATTGAATTTTTTTTCTTTGTCGAATATGGCAATTTAAATTGGTTTTACTATTTCTTGAGCCACAAATGAATTTTTATTAGAATATTTAAGCCGAAAACTTAAAAATAATGGACATAAAAAGGCAGTGATGCTCAAAACATTGGCGAAACGGGATTCCATCTACAAGAATATTAACAAAAAATCTTGCACAAATATTCTAATCCTCAAGGTGTGGTGAAGATGAAAGTAAATAGATTTGACGACAATTTTTATAAAAATTTGCAAAATCGCCAATTAATCGTGATGGTTAGCCCAACTTTTTTTTTGAGAAAAATGCAAATTTTTTATTTTGTGAAATATATTCCGTCATGATTAAGAGTAACTTTATAAGGCAATTAGAAATGGTTTTACCATTTATTGAGCCACAAATGTATTTTTTGGAGAATATTCAAGCCCAAAACTTAAAAATAAATGGACAAAAATTGTAGTAAGGCCTAAAACATTGGCGAAACGACATTGCATCTACAAGAATATTAACAAAAAGTCTTATATGAATATGCAAAACGTCACGATGCGGTGAAGGTGAAAACAAATAGATTTCACGACATTTTTTTTGTATAAATTTGTAAAATCGCCTAGAAACCGTGATATGCGCTAATAATTATTTGGGTGGCATGTAGCTTGATATGAAACCTATTTACAAGTCGTGGATGCATTACAACAATCTACAATATAGAAGAATTGGTTCACTAGCTACTAATAGTACCGATACCTTTTAAGATAAAACTCAACACCGACGTAGAATTATAATATTAGCGCTAATGAACCCAATATTTGGACTTCGGTGATTGAGCACAATATCAGTACTAAGTAGTGGGCTCACGCCGTTGCACAACAATTTGGTTACGTAGCCTCTTGTCTGGACTTGGAACTCAGATATCTTGAGTGAGAGCTGGGTATCCTTTCTTGTCATTTATATTAAGTTAATTATTTCAAATAGCAAAAGGATTGTATAGCAAGAGTACCAAATGCATGATCATTCATGCTCCACTTCTCTTATTTATCAACAAGCAGAGGTCACATAGTATATTTATGATGTTTGAGATACTAATTTATGGACGAAGAGTACTCTATATTGATACTAAATGGAGCTTACCGCATCTATGAATTAACCGCTCTACAATTCTTCCGAATTTGTCCACTCAGACCATTAAGTGGCCTAATATTTCCCATCTTGATCATGGACTTAACAAAGTCATCAAAGAAAAGCTTAGGGTTTCTTCTGTAGCTGTCAACAAGAGTTCTGGTCATCATTGAAACGGATTCATCACTACTAATTAATAGAATTTGGTCAGAACGAAGAAGACCCTTTCCATCGAGTAAGCTCTGGAAGTAGTGGTTGTCAAATAGATCATTCGAATTTTGATCAAGCGCCATTACTTCGTTGCCATCGCCATTCACAAGACATACATGTTTCAAATCAGATAGCATGGTTTTTTCCATTGTACTATCTGGACCTCCAGTGTTCGAGAAGTTCCAGAGTCTTTTGCTGAAAGTGGCACACCTTGCTCTTCCAATTGTATGGGCACCTATGTACACGCATGATGAGCAAAGGGAATGAGTACACAAAGGAGGATAGGGCACTACATTTTAGATATATATAGGGATAAGTTTACACACACACACACACACACACACACACACACCTATTATATTATATATACATCTATATATATACACTACTAGAGAGTTTGACCCAATATAATTTCATTTTTAGGACTCCCCAATTCCTTAGTGAAACCCCACTACCAATCAAGTTTGACTCTCAAATGCAAAATGCATACAAGCACGCCAACACAAAACGAAACAAGAATCTCAGTCGTTTCTAATATATTAGCAAAGATAGAAATTGCAACCATTCCTATAATTATAGGCTTTTTTGTTATGTACCTGACAAGGAGACCACATCTGTGACATTGATCAGTCCAACATTGCCAAATTTTGAAATTATTGTCGCCAATGTGCCATATTGAGAAGGAATAGCAAGATTAGCTCCTCTTTGATTTGGCACCAGTCCATCCCTTCTTCCCAGTAAAACTTTCCACGACGGGCCTCCACTCTGCACATTGTCATGCCCTTAGATTCATCCATCGCGTCCGTTCTTCCATATACTAATTATATGAATGTCGAACCTCTACATTTAGAGGCCGTTTTCGCTACATGCTGCCTAATGACCTTTGCCAAGTTTAATGATATTATCTACACTAAAAGGGTGGGGAGTGAGCTCAGCCTCACAATGGGTTAACAATAATGTAGTTTAAATTCATATTTGCCACATTAAATTAAATGTGATGTAATATATTGTAATTACTTACTTGAGCTCTTTTCTGACAAAACAACAGCTAACTAGTTGTTTTTCAGTTGTTTGAAGAAAGTTAGGGTTCCACTACAAAACTAATTGGCTATATAGAGAGTAGCCCAACTTACTTATAAGTTTAGCACATAGACAACACAAAGCGGGTGATGTAGAGCAAGTGCGGCCATTGGCTTCACATGCAAGACAACCTGCTCTGATACCATAAAGAAAGACGGGGATCCACTATAAAACCAATTGGTTATATGGGTAGTAGCCCAATTTACTTATAAGTCAATATGACAAGGTTCCTCCTCCCATCAATGTGGGATTCATTCTTCACAACATCTAATGTGGGTTAGTCAGATGTTGGAGGGAATCGAAAGTCATCCCATGTTCAAATTTGACTTCCTATTCGATTTGGGCTCATGACTCACCTAATTTTGTCATTTACTATGTTGCATTGGCAATTTAAGATAAGAAACTATTGACACTTCAAAAATCTAATTATGCACCCTCCTCATAAGAGTACTTTTCTTTCTAAAACTAGAAAGTTTAGAGTGCACAGTTAAATTTTTTAATACCAATAACAATTCCCTTTAAGATATTAAGATATTTTTTATATTTTGTTTCTCTAATTCGTTTTCTATTTGAACTCCTAGACCTTCTAGTACCAAGAGGCATAATATAAACATCTTTAGGGTGCTAGGGGTATGTTTGAGGTTTCCTCATTTCTCTAATAGATTCCTGCAAAATAATGGGTTTCATACCTTCTCTTTGGCATGTTGGGTCAGAATCTAACCCACTACCTTATTAATTTGAGAAACCAAAGATGAAAACTTACCAAGAGTACAGAATCTCGGGCGATCAGGGCTAATATATCAGCACAAGATACAACTCCACTACATGCACTCCACAGCATTTTTGACTTTGTCTACCACTTCAAATCCTCTTGTTGAGTTCAAATTTGAAGTGGCAAATTTCTCACTGTTACGTCCATCCAATAGAATGGATGCATCACAGCCCTAATTAAGGTCAAATTACGTGAAAATATGATTCGGATGAAATCATAAAGGCCTGTAAAAAAAAAAAAAATTGTCAGAAATTTCTGAACTCACCTTCACAAAGCAATCAAGAAAGTGAAGCCGAAGCAACGAAGCTGCCATTCGCATTTCGTTCTTTACAGCATCTATAACCTCCTTCCTGACTATTTTATAACGATCTGGACATGTCTGCTTATAGAAATCTGCAGAAAGATCAGACTTCACAGCTAAACATAACATGAAACATTTATGAGCAAAAATAAGCTATTATAGTCCATAGATCAATTTTTCATGGTTGTTTAGTGAAGGCCAAGAATGAAGAGATAAATTTGAAGTTCTATTAGTAGCCAAAGTTCAAGCAGCTAAATTGAAATTGCATAAACCCCAATCCATAGATGAATTAGTGAACTAAATGTTTTGCCAATCAAAAAGTGACAAAGCTGTAAGATTTCTGATTATTGGGTTGCAATCATATAAACTTGTACCATGGAAAATGTGAGACAATGAATCAAAGTAAAACATTTGGAAAGCAATAAGGGTTCAATAATTCAAGGAACTTTGCCAGAATTCCATGATACAATCATTAAGTTGCCGATGCACCAAGAATGTTGAATAGTTAGAATTCTCTAATGTTGTGTTTGGAGGAGTGGCTTTAAAGTACAGAGGGATTTTAGATTCGATTGTTAAAAATGTACAACAAAAACATTAGCAATAAACTAAAACTATAAAGCTGCTATTAGAACACTACATATATTCGAAACATATTTTAGCACAAGTTCTATCGTACTTTAAAATTTGAATTCTCTTGTCCAAACACACCATAAAGGACTAAAGACATAGTCAGGATCAAGTTAGTATTGACATTATAGAGTACTCAACTATTCACAGGATAAGATTATGCAAACAATCAAATGCAGATAATTTTTTTGGTGTGATTAATTGTCACATGTCACACTGTATTACTATCGTCACATGTCACATTGTATTACTAATCCAGCTTGTTATAACATATAATAATGTACGCGAAATATCAACATTAATATCTACCCATATTATTATACTTGAACTAGAAGTAATAATCTTCCATGACAGTGTGGCTGTTATATCCAAAATATATTGCAATCAAATTGTGATCAATTGTACCTTTTATACTGTTAAAGCATCCAACACTAATCCAATTAAACATAATTTCTAGGTTAAGGCCAGATTTTCAACCAAAACATTTAAGAATTAGAAAGGAAAAGTAGAAAAAGATCTTAAAAAAATAAAAAGAAAATGTAATATATGGCGCCAATTCATCAAACAAAAGTAACAGCAGACACATGTAGATATATCCACAGTATATCAGTTTGGACGTGTCTGATGGATAACTTGCCACGTGGCTAAGACCGAAGATATTAGTCTGGTTACACTCATGAGCCTCTCAGCCTCTGCTTCTTCAATCTTTGGTCACCAATGGCGGCAGCAGCAGCAAATCTAACAAACCTGAGAAGCTTCCATTATTGGCGCCAAAAACCCACATTCTCACCATCGCCACCAACTCTTCCCTTCTACAGAAACTCTTCAGCTTCAAGTGCAGGCCGTACAAAGACGTTGACGAAAGTGTTGACTCAAGAAGAAGTTTCGTTTACGGAGCAAGAGAACTCTCTCGTCGAAGCCCTCATCGGAATCCAAGGCCGAGGCCGCTCTGCTTCTCCTCAGCAACTCACCGTAGCACTTCTCTCTGCTTCACCTTTTAAAATATCCTGTAATATTTTTTAAATTTTATTGAAGAAAATTGATTGAACGAGAATTGCTAATGCTTTTGCAGGATGTTCAAAATGCTGTGAATGTTCTTGAAGGTTTACAAGGCGTTCCTGACCCGGTTCGTCATCGTTGTTATATTAAAATTCCAAACAGATGCATATATGTGTTTTTGTGAAATACGCGCAATAAAATACCGGCCACAAAGTTTTAATCAAAAGTAGAACTAAGAGACGCAAAACTGATAATAAGTCATATACATACAAATTCAGGTTTAGTTTCTTTTTCGTTTCTCTTGGGTTTTATTTTTTATGTAAAGTTTATAATCGGTTATATTTGTGCATATTTCCGTCTATGCTTAATTTATAAAGGGTCTCATTAAATATATTTATAGGAGTATTGAATTTGTATGTTTTGTTATGTATGCAGACAAGTTCTAGTTTAATTGAAGGGCGCTGGCAATTGATGTTTACTACAAGACCTGGAACTGCCTCTCCAATCCAAGTATGACCTTATCAACTAAAGCTTTTCCCCCCCTGTAAATGATTATAATTTTTCTTTCTTATAAAATTAAGAAATTATAAAGGAATATGATCTGTTTAATTTCTTTCAAATCATTCATCCGAAGAATCGAATTGTTATTTGTTGTGCATTCCTGTAAACTGCTATCACAAATTTGAAAATTGCAAAAAACTTGGTTTCTAATCATCCACCCTAGCTATGTGACAGATGAACACAGGTAATCCATTGTATATGTAAAGGTATGGATCTTTTATTGAAACCAATTTTTCTTAAGACAATTGGTCTGGCTGATACTCTAAACAATTTGAAAGTGGCATTTAGTTTGAATCATGCTTCTAAAATTTTGCAGAGGACGTTTGTGGGGGTTGACTTCTTTAGCGTATTTCAAGAGGTATATCTTAGGACAAGTGATCCACGCGTATCGAATATCGTCAAATTCTCTGATGCAGTAGGTGAACTAAAAGTAGAGGTACGCCCTGCTATCTCTCCAACTCCTAAATATCATCACACATATCTTCTCAAAAGCACAAAAGAGTTACTACCATAGTTCCATTCAGTTGTTATCTTTAACCTCCTTTAATTCTAGTAAAAAATGTTGTCATAATATTTTCTTTTCACTTATGCATTCTCTATTTTCTTTTCACGCAGGCAGCAGCATCAATAAAAGATGGGAAACGAATCCTCTTTCGGTTTGACAAAGCAGCATTTTCTCTTAAATTTTTACCGTTTAAGGTTCCATATCCAGTTCCATTCAGACTTCTTGGAGATGAGGCAAAGGGCTGGTTGGATACCACATACTTGTCCGAATCTGGAAACCTTCGTATCTCAAGAGGAAATAAGGTAATCGGCACATTGTTGCTTAGTAGTATAAGATTTTAATACATTCTGTGCTGTATTTCAGATCAGTAATATTAATACATAGTCGGAGACTTTCAATTAATTGCTTAAATCTTAAAAATGAGTTGCTTATAGCTAAGGATATCCATAAATATATTTGTAGTGCAGGGAACTACATTTGTGCTGCAAAAGAAAACCGAACCTAGGCAAAGATTGCTGTCAACCATCTCCACGGGTACAGGAGTTAAAGAGGTGATGTTTCCAATTCAATTTTCTCAAGTTGCATGCCTAAGAAAATTTTGCCTTGTTGATATGGTCTCCCGCAACCCCATTTCTTCTATCGCAGGCAATCGATGAGTTTATCTCGTTAAATCAGAACATGGGTGATCTAGAGCTCCAAGACGGGGAGTGGGAAATGATATGGAGTTCACAGGTAATCTCATGCTTATAAATTGGCCATAGAGTGCTTTTACGTTGCCTTTTACAGATATCCTAGCGGCGTGGGAAGTGGAAAAGACACTGAGAGACTTAAATTTGGTGTGACTAAACCACTTAGAATTTTTTTTGCATACAATTTTCACTCGCCTCTCATATGTGGCAGGAAGAGACAGATAGTTGGTTAGAGAATGCAGCCAATGGTCTAATGGGAAAGCAAGTAAGCGAAACTTTATAGCTTCTATTTTCGACAGATTTCTTTCATTCTCTTTACTATTTTCTTCTTCTAAAAAAAATGTAATGCTGTGATTATAGATTGTCAAGAAAGATGGACAAATAAAGTTTGTGGTTGATACCTTACTTGGACTCAAATTCTCCATAACTGGCACATTCGTGTAAGTTTCTCATTACTTGGAATTTATGGTTGTACTGCTGTATTGTGAAAGCCTGATTTCTACATTCTCCATCACGTTGACAGGAAAACTGGCAGCAGAACATTATGATCTTACAATGGATGACGCAGCCATCATCGGTGGTCAGTTTGGGTATCCTGTAGAGCTAGAGAGCAAGTTCGAACTTGAGATACTGTAAGATATCTCATTTTGTTATTCATAATTCATGTACTTATTTCCTCCAGATTTTGATTATCTGGAATCCCTTTTCTATGCATATATCTACTCACACTGTATGCTGCAGGTATAGCGATGACAAGATCAGAATTACACGAGGGTATAGAAAAATCGTTTTCGTGTATTTACGAACAGATGGTGTTGAACAGAACTAAGCTGGTCTAACCGAACAGATATAAGATCTAAGTTTCAAGCGATGCAAATTTGCTTCTTGTAGTTCCTTGTGTTGGTAAATATAGTAAGCACATCCAGATTATTTTAAATGTTTGATTGTAACTCTGAGAAAAAATACATACATATTAGCATTAATGTCTTGACATGTATTCTTGGCTATTTTTTGCCTTATCGTAACATCAAATGTAACTATGAAATTAATCGTATCCCTGATATTTTCTACTCTGGTAAGAATCGAAATTAATCGTATCCCAAATATGTTCTACTCTCTGGTAAGAATTCATTTATGTTACAGTGAAAAAGTTTTATGAGGAATGATTTCGAGCACGCCTAATTTTCTCCTTTTAAACTTTATTTTTGTCTGTTTTGACTTATTCAATTTAAAAGCAAAAAATAAATAGAAGTGTGCATGAGGAGAAAATAGTTGTGCATAAATCACTTCCCTCGTTCTTTACTATCGAGCTTGGTATTTTGGTATTTATACGCTAGGGCTTGGATTACTTATTCAGTACTTCTATGTTCTAAACAAATCAGCAAAATTCTCTCACAAAAAGGGGTACTAAAAAGAAATATATCTCGTCAATAGAATCCCCCACCAAATATCATGGCACAATAAAAACCCAACTTTATAGAAAAACCGGTCATCATATACTCTTCCACCCCCACCCCTCATGAAAGTGTCTTAGAAGCAATTAATTATTTGATTACTTGGATCCCAGGTAATCAAGAAAAAAAAACTTGCCTGAATTCATTCATTCTCGTTGCAAAACCTTCCACATTCAATCAACCTAGATTTGGACTTCAATGTCTTCTGAAACCCTAGATTGTTTTGGTTCTTAATCAACCTAGATTTGGACTTTAATGTCTTCTGAAACCCTAGATTGTTTTGGTTCTCTTTAAATTCAAAGGCTGTACTTCTTTTGCTCACTTTTTTCTTAAAACCACAATTCGGAGGGTTCTTCGAGCACCTGGTAAGTGTCCTATTTGCTTAAACAAACCTTTTTCACAATTGTTTTCATCCACAAATCGGTACGCGTTTGTTTTGCACTTGTTTAGTTTTGATTTCTAACACTGCTTGAAGGGTTTGATTAAACTGGAGAAAGTAATAACGTTCTGCTCATATTTCTGATAAATTCGGAAAATTTATTTGTCACTAAAGGTTGATTTTTTTCCTTCTTATTGTCTTCGACTGTATTGAGAATTTATATTTATCTGTTTTTTTTTTTTAGTGAAACGATAAGCTTTGGTAAGTTAAATATTAGATTAGTTATTGACGGGGTTCAAACTCATGCCGTCATATAAGGATACAACACATTTCCATCACTGTGGTAAATGAGTCACGTGCAATATATTTATCTGTTATGAAATCGATATGTGGTTATATTCCAAACATTTGAATACCAATAATGCTATTCTTACCATAGTTTTGTACCACAATTGTATACCACCTTAGGTGGTATCTGACTGTAGACAGCCACATCATCTAAATTAATTAGCATTTAATTTCAAAATGTTAATCAATAATTAATAAAAATAGTTAATTGTTATTAGCACTTCAAAAATCTCATTCTACACTTCAAACTTTCTATATTTGAAAAGAAAAATACACATGTGAGGAGTTTAGAATGAGATTTTTGGAGTGCCAATTACACTTCCCTAAAAATATTGTTAATTAAATGATGATTGTGGTATATGAGGAGTCTCCCTCTTCCACCTAAGATATAAAAAAAATTGAAATTAAATGATGTAGCTTGTCCAACTCATGTGCCACAAACATATGAGGAATTTTTATTAGCACTAAAAATCATCATGCGCTTTTCCGTCGTTTATTTCACTACGAAGGAATGTTGGTGATGTTTTTGAAATATCAATAACAGCTTCCTTTAATCGCGTGAATAATTGATTAAACCAGTTTACGGTTTTTGCAGTGTGAAGTGTGAACAATGTTGGCTCCGCAAAATGCGCCAAAAAAGGAAGATTTTTCCCTCAAGGAGATTAAGCCAAAAATCACTGGCAAGGCAGCCAATGCCTCAGGCCCGTCAACCACCTTCGACTTGGTGGAGCAAATGCAGTATCTGTATGTGAAGTTTGAGAAAGTCAGAGGTTTGCCGCCAGCATGTCACCCGTACATTGAAGTGAACATTGGGAACTACAAGGCAACCACACAGCACTTGGAGAACAATAACCAAGTGTTTGCTTTCAAAAGAGACAAACTTCAGAGCAACAAAGTAGATATTTTGGTGAAGGACAAGGCTGCTGTGGTTGGAGATGGAACCATTGGCAAGTTTGATTTCGCTGTTAACGAAGCTCAGATGAGAATTCTTCCTAATAGTCCATTCGCGTCGCAGTGGGTTAGGCTGAAGGACGAAAAGGAGTTAAAGGGAGCAGAATTGTTGCTTGCCTACTGGATGGGGGCACAGGCTGATGGTGCATTTAACGAACCGTATTATGCTGACACGGCCTCAGTAGTAAGCGGTTATGGTGTTTCGGAAACGCATCCCAAAATGTATGACTTTTATTATAAGCTTTGGTACCTTAGAGTTAATGTGATTCAAGCTGAAGATCTGGTATTCAGAGACATGAATAACGGAAAGCCACGGGAGATTTTTGTGAAAGCTAGTGTTGGGAGGTGGGTTTTGAGAACTAAGGCTTCGCAAACTAAGACCGATAATCCTATGTGGAATGAAGATTTAATGTTTGTTGTGGCAGAAAAGTTTGAGGACGATTTGATTGTGAGCGTGGAGGAGAAGGCGGATAGTATGGGAGGAAGTTTTACGTTAGGTAGTTGCAAGATTCCTTTAGGGAATATCGCGAAGAGGAATAATGCTGCAGCGGCTACTGCTGTGAAATATAACCTTGAGATGATGGAAAAACTGGAGGGGAAGGTGAAGTTTGCTAGTAAGATTCAGATGAGGGTCTCTTTGGACGGCGGATACCATGTTCTTGATGAGCCTGCTCACTCTATTAGTGATTATAGGCCATCAGCAAAGGCATTGTGGAAGCCGAAAATTGGGGTTCTAGAACTGGGAATCATAAGCGCTTCTACACTGAAACCAGTGCAGCCTAAGAATCGCGTTGATGCGTACTGCGTGGCAAAATATGGGCCGAAGTGGGTGAAAACAAGGACGGTTGTTGATAGCCGTGATCCAAAGTGGAATGAACAATACAATTGGGATGTCTATGATGCATGTACTGTCATTACTGTTGCAGTTTTCGACAACAATCATTTGGAAAGCTGGATAAAGCTGGCAGGGCTATGGATTTACCCATTGGGAAGGTAAAGATTCGGCTATCAACTCTCGAAGCTGGTAAGATATACAAAAACTCTTTTCCACTAATGGTTCTGCATGCCTTCTGGATTGGACAAGAAGGGTGAAATCCAATTGGTGGTGAGATTTTCGGTTGACAGTATGCTTAACACGCTGTGGACCTATACGCAGCCTCTGATGCCGAAAATGCATTACCTTCAGCCACTCTCTGTGGATCAGATGTCTATATTATTGCAACAGGCGGCTGATGCTATTGCGTTGAAGTTGAGCAAGTCTGAGCCGCCCATAAGGAGAGAGGTTGTGGATTATGTGTTGGATGTGAAGGCCCGTTCGTGGAGCCTTCGAAGAGCCAGAATCAATTTCGAGAGGATCGTCAAAGTTTTGGATGTTTTCTTTTGGCTCATCAAAAAGTTTGATCAAGCACGCAGTTGGACTAACCTGTGGATATCTATACCGGTTCTCGTTGCGTTCACTATCTTGGTTGTTTGGCCTCAGACGCTTATCTATACTCTAATCGGAGCATTGGTCTACTGCGTTTTCGCAGGGATTCGAAGTTACCCGAATAGGCCTAAACAAATTCCTCACATAAACATCGAATTGTCTCATCTCCATACAGCTCTTCCAGATGTTCTGGATGAAGAGTTGGATCCGTTTCCAACAAGAAGGACCGACGTCGAGACTCTGAGAAGAAGATATGATCGGCTTCGAAGTATTGGATTGAATATCCAGACACTGCTCGGTGACATAGCAACTCAAGGGGAGAGGGTGCAATCTTTGCTTAGTTGGAGGGATCCAAGAGCCACATCTATGTTTGTTATCTCCTGTGTTATTGCTGTCTTCATACTTTCCGTTGTTCGTTTTGATGCTATTGTTTTTCTTGCCGGAGGGTACGTGTTATTGCCGCCAATTTTCCGCACCAGATTCCCTGTGTACCCCCAGAACTTGCTCAGAAGGATGCCGGCGAAGACGGATATCTTTGTCTGAGGAGCTTGAGACGGAAAACTTCCGAACCTACTTTGCAAACAATTGTTCCAATTTCTTGCTTGGTTTTTGTTTCATATCTGTACTTCTTTCATGTGCTAATGTTCCTGTGTTAGAATCTAATCGTCCGCAAGGCCTTGGCTCGGCCTCGCGTCGATCATTTCTAAACAAGTTTAAACAGATTTAGCTTTATATTGTTGTTGCCCGAATGAGAAAGAAAATATGTCAATCGCTTATTCGAATAAACTCGTGAAACTACGAAGAACAAAAGACGAATTCTTGACATTATAACCTGTAATTTTCTGGCAAACAGTACAACTACATTACATTTTCTGGTTTAGTCCTAATAAACGTTATTGACGTGGAGGCATGGGAATGTAAAAACTAAGAAAATGAACCACCGGGAAATCTACTGAGGCTGAGAAGAGCCGCTCCAAGGAGTTTTCGACCGAACCAAAGACAGCTTTGATGTGTGGATGCAAGGCAGTCAGTCCATTTGAGCTTCACATTTGCACTCCCACCAAACATAGCGTGCATCAAGAAAACAATGTTGCCGGTGACACAAGGAGCAGAACATCTTTCACAACAGACCGTTATTTCGCCGTAAGCAATTCCACGAGCTTTCACCAGACCATTATTTCACCGTAAGCAATTCCATCAGCTTCCTGAAGCTATTGTTCCTACGTAGGACCAATACGACCAACCAAAACACGACTAAATGAGTAACTGCCTGCAGATTCTAAGCTTTCATGGAACTCATTTAATGGAGATAATGAAAATATTCAACATCCAAATAGGAGCGACAGAGGACCATTTATAATGTCAGATTAAAAGTTTACTGAGGAAAAAAGAGTTCCTCAAATACAAAGAATAGTAAAAGGAATTGAGCATTTTCCATCCATATGACTTATGAGGTGCCAAAAAATACTAGCAAATTGGCTTACCATCAATAAGCTAGATGCAACCCTAAGTTTGACCATCACGTCAGATTAGTGAAAACTTTTCATAAATGCATTACATCTGTACCTGTACCCTCAAAGATGTTTTAAGTAACGAAGAGCATTGCTCAGAGAAGCCATCCTCTCGTACATTAGAACCATTTGCAGAACATTGCCTAACAAAAGAAGTTGCATGACTACTAACATGATGCAAAAAGAACAGAGCAATCTGTTGAAGAAAAATTGAGGGAATTAGAGAAACCTGAATGAGCAGCACTGTTGATTTCGAAGTAATGCATGCACTGAAAAGAACAGCAATAAAGCAGCTTTATCAAAACTAACAATCAAGCCTTTTCTCTAGCAGACGTCCACTTGTATTGGTTTTCGGCATCAATGCTTCCCAAAATTGGCAAAAGTGCACATATGCCTTCTTCGAAGATGCTAGAGATTTCAAACTGCGCATTTGGAACCACCCTCACAGGCGATATAGAAGATTGAAGCAAGGAGTGTAAGTCACTTCAAATGAACATACAAGTGAACCACAAGGAAAGCTACTAACCAGCAGCCCACAGATGCTAAGTTTTGACAACGAAAAACTGTTCCATGTACACACACTCGCACGCGCGCATGCACACAATCTAAAATCAATTTTGAGACAACCCTGTCTTAAATCATAAAATTTCAAGTGTAGGTGAACATTTACAATTACATAATCAGCAGTCTTGCCTGTATAGGATGAATATAAAAAAATTCTCTTTGGATCACTGTCAAGAATTGCAAATACAGAATTAAAATTCACCAAGTCATAGTTGCTACACGTCAGTTGACACATTCGACTACGTCAGTGTAATCTAGTAGAAGAAGACTACTTATCATATAACCGAGAATGCAGCTGATTAAACAGAAGTGCAAATATTTCAGTAAGCTTTAAGTACTCATATTAACACTTAAAATAACAGATATTTTATGAAACCATAAGCAAAATCATCTAACAAAAAAAGGTTTGCTTGACATTAGGAAATTGAACATTAGATACATAATAGGATTTAGATCAACCCTAACAAATGCATAGGTTCATTTCAAACTTTATAGCGAGTACATGCAGCGATACAGAGACATATCCTTTTAACATGAATGAACCTTACAACTAACTCTAACACCCCAACCCAAGGAGACATAAAACCTACACCCTAATCCCTACAGATATTATTAGGTCGGGATGGGGCAGAAAATTGAGAACACCAACAGTTCATCCTCTCTTTCCCACCAACACACTGAAAATGAAAATACAAAGAAAGAAATGAAATATAATGCGAATCTACATAGAGTGCATATATCCAGATGTTTCACAACCGATGACTGAAAGGGTACTGTTTATCTGTTCAGTAACAACTTACATTAACGCGGGACAGATCAGTCACCGTCGCCAATGCTCTTTTCCAGGCACGTAATTCCCATTTCCTCATCCTTCTTTGCATTCATCTCACCCTGCATTATCTCAGTCTCATTCTTGATCTCAACTTCATCTTTCACCATCTTATCTTCAAGCTCATTTTTATTTCCAATTTCTTTTTCTGGAGTAAGCTCGCTCTTAAATTCCTCAATCTCTTCGTTACCTACAAACTCATTTCTTGTTTCATCTTTCACCTCATTTTCCTTTAGAATCATTTCTTTGGGTACATATTCTTCCATACCTACATCAACATCCCTAACACTTTCATTCTCGGCCAATGCACCAACACTTCTACTTCCTCCATCTCTCAACACATAATCTACCATCTCAGGATTGTTCTCACCCTCCATACCCATATGGGGCGCGTCCGACCCTCCATCACTATCATTTTCAAATGCATTTTCCACCACCTCTTCATTGACCTCCCCCATCACATGGCACCTCCTCTCAATGAACTGCATCCGCCTCCTCAAATCTGCCAACTCCCTCTCCATCAAGAAAAGCCTCTCCTTCAATGTCAGATTCTCCTCCTCCAATTGAGCTATATGCGTATCCTGATCATCCACTCTATTCTCCAAAGCATTGTTATACTCAACCCCACTGTAATTCGGGTACACCATCTCAAACCTACTCAAATCATGGTCCAACCTCCTCTCCACCTCCACATGCTCCTCCACATCACTCTCGCTCGATCCACCACCACCCTCATCATCATCATTTCCAGGCGACCGAAGCCGAATCAACCCTTTCATCGACCCATACCCATCAACACCCCACTCCTCTTTCGCCATATCCCCCAAGACTTCCCGTGAAGGCGAGAACATGGGTGTGGGCAGAACAGCCGGAGTCACCGGATAAGGCGAAACTAGTGAGGCTATACCGCCGGCCTTCTTCGCACGAATAATATACGATGTCGTGTTCCTTGGGGCGTAAGGCGCAAACCTATTGTTAAACTTCTTTTTCGGATAAAATTTCCGGGCTTTCATTCGATTCTGAGACTGTAACTCATGAAGCGTCGGGGGTATGTATCCTCCTCCTCCTCCGCTTGTCTGACCACTCAATGGCAAATTGGGGACATTCTTGTCCATTCTCCTCTTATCTCCGCCTTTCTTTCCCTTCCAATTGTTGCGTCCAACATTCGACGGCGGCGGCTTTTGGGCGGCGAACTGAGGCTGCGGCTGAGGCCAAGCCTTGTAGTTCCGATTCATCATCATAGGCTGAGACTGACTGTTCATCATCATCAACTGAGATTGCTGCTGCTGCTGTTGCTGCTGAACCGCCACGGATTGAGAAGACGGCGCCATCATCTGCTGCAGCGTCTGACTCATCATCTGCGGGGGCGGCTGGCTGATCACTTGAGCTTGGCTCAAACTCATCATCGGTGGCGCTTGATTCATCAGCTGTGACTGATCGTTCATCGTTTCCCCCAATTTCGAAGGAAACTCCACAAACCCTAAATTCCCAAATCTCACAAATTCAAACAAACTCGTCCGTTTCCAATCCAATTCCGATCAATCAAAACCGCCAATCAGATCGCACAAAAACCCCCAAATTTCAAGATCGAAACCCTCAAAATCCGATTAATTCCAATCCAATGTCTCGATCTTAAACCTCCCACACAGAAATGATTGAAAATTTTCCTTTTAAAAAAAATTAAATTAAAAATAATTCAGGAGGAAAATTCGAAGAACTTGATTTTCTAATTTTTCTTGATTACGATTTGATTTCTGTTTCTCTCTCTAGCAATTTCGAGAGCTCTCGATCGAATCGAAGCCGTTGTCAGGAGGCCGAGCTGTGACCGTGGGGATGTATATGTAGGGGGTGATTGCAGCCTGTGGATCGTTGGATCCGAATTTTAGATATGGAGATGGACTGGTACGTGTCAGTTGGACATTATTCTGAGAGCGGCATTTTTCTTTTACAACAAATAGTATAATTTGGTAAACAATGAAAGACCAAATATAGGATTTTTTATTTATTTATAAAATTTACTACAACGGAGGGGTGAGCTTCGAACTAGAACGTAAGGTAGAAATTCAAAAGAGTATAGAACTTTAGATGCATAAATATAAACTCAACAGTTTATGCATTACGATATTGGATCACATACAATTGCATATGAATTATTACTACTTATCTAAGATTGATTTGGATAGACTGTCCTAAAATCTTTTAATTTCAAGCATTCTCATTCTGTATATTTATACTTTTTTACTTATTTTCGTTAGCGTTTCGCTTATTCAATTTTTCAAAAACAGGTTGTATAAATATTTTAATTTTGAAAATCCCGGGACGTGATTGTCGACCTTGTGACTTCTTTATATAGTATAATTGTCTAAATATAAAATATTATTGAACGTTGTCACTCGGAAATATTCATTCGGTACTCATGTCTTTTTCAATGATTTTACGTGAGAAATAAGTGTAATATAACATTTTCTTGGTGATGAATAATGAGATTGTAAGCTTGTTTAGAAGTCATTTTAAAATGATTGATACAGTTTTTGTGAAAATATTTTTTAAATCAATTCTTAATAAAATGTAAGTAAATACTATAAAAAAAATACTTAAATTCTTTATGTAAGAAGCATTATTTATGTACTTCTACCATAAAGAACTTTAAGTACTTTTCGAAACATAAAAACATTTTTTCTAAAAATGATTTCAGTCATTTAAAATAATAATAATAATAATAATAATAAAATAAAATAAAAACTTCTAAACTAATCTCGTGTGTAAACTTGGAATTACAAAGGGCTTGCTTGCATCACATCACGCCCCAACTTTTAGTGCATCTTTTTTGGGACGAATATTTATTTTACATTTGTGGCTCCGGTTGAGTCATTGGGAGTAGGGTTCTCTACCCTCCTCTTCCATCCCCTCCTCTCATATTCTCTTATTTTATATCTCTCTTGTTATAAAAAATATTAATATAAGATGTTGACATGACTTAACCGTGACCTGTTCAAATAGGAGACGATGGAAGAGGAGAAAAAAAAATAGGGGAGAGAATCCTACTCTGAGTCCTTGTGATGTTTGAAAGAGGATTCCTTTCGGATTCACTTTGTAGGAATTCTCGAGATTTCTACATTCTAACCATTTATTTTATATCGTGTAATCAGTTTTCGTCAAATATTATTTGTGTTTAATTTTAAATAAAAAGTCAAATAATTTCTAACCGTACGATACACAATGAATGATTAAAATGTAGAGATCCCACAAAGTGGATCCGATGGGATCCAATTCCGTGATGTTTACCTTCTTTTTATCACAAAAGCTTTGGCAAGCACTCATCTCTCTCCATCTGTCACAATTCACAAAAGCCCCCCGAGGAAGGAAAACACCATCAACTTCTTTGTCAAGGAAGGAAAACGGTTAAGAAATTCAACTTTTACGTCATTTTCTAGCCTTCCACACAACCTTATTTAATCTAAACTTTCTGATACCAGTTGTTATTAAAAAAAACTTTCAATAATACCTTTGCAATTAAACTCGTTATCAATTTTAATCCAAATCAAAGTTTCAATCTAAATCTTGTTGATCTCTGCGCGATCACGCGTCTTGCAAATGTCATTTACATGCATGGTTAACTTAACATTAAAATTTGACTGCCTTGAGCGTTTGGCAACCACACGGGCAACTTTGGGTCCAATTAGGATGAAATTTCAATTGGGTCTTTTCTAGCCTTCAATTTTGATCGATAGAACTACGAGATTCGAACTTAATATAGCAAGAACAATTGGTCTAAATTATTAGCTCGGTAGACACAATTTCGAGTTCATTCATGCATACCCGAGTATCAAAAGAAACGAACCAGTAAAGATTCAGAAAGAAAGTGTTCACGAAGTGCTTCAAGCCACAAAATCTCGAAAATCATTGATAGTTTGGTCGCTAAAAACTGTATATATTATCAGTATACATTCCTCGTACACAAAGCGGCACACAAGCGACTAAACCGAATGGCGAAATGCGACACGATCAATGATATACACTAGTATTTACAACGATTAGTGGACAAGCTAGATCAAAGAACCAAAAAGATTACACGCTACCCATACGTTTACCGGGGAACATAAGCTACTTAAAATGATACACAAAGGGAACAAAAACTCGGTGACTATATTCCGGTGTTGGGGTTGTTTCCGGCAAGGACGAGAGAGATCTCCAACCCTCGGCTGAAAGCCTGGTTGAACATGAGCCGCGTTTGGAATGTCGATACAAATGGGAACCATGAGAATAATGCAATGGGTATGAATATGATCATCCCCATCCCGGCGTCATATAGAAGGGCAATGGAACGAATGGACTTCCACAGGTGAAGTTTTTTCATCAACGGTTTCCAAGCTATAGCAATCTGGAAAACATCACACAGATTAACGTCAATATAAACGGGAGGAAGAGGGCATTACTGATACATACTCAACTAATTTTCAATTACACAATCGGTTCCCAAAGTAATTTGGTCAGGCTAAAATATAACGAACGGAAATTGTATATGCGTAACACAAAACACAAATTGTTCCAATTTAATTTTCCTACAACTTAACATAAACGAGTGTGGAGTGGTAAGAAAAGAAATAAAAGAATAGGAAATGAAAAGACTTACAGAAAGGATTCCCCACCCAGTGGGTATAAAGGCTAAAATCGAAGCAAAAACGTCTGCAATTGACAAATCTGTAAATTTAACTGCAACTGCTAAACCGGCAAGTGCCAACAAGAAGGATACACCTTGAATGAAACGCAGCACAAGCTGGAAGTTAACAGATATCTTCTGGCTGAAGGTAAACACCTGTGAAACCAAAGCAAAAAAATTATGAATTACATAGAAACAGGACTTGCATCACATAATTTAGGCCGAAATAGATGTTATCGCTCAGTAGTTTCAACTTCACCTTGAAAAGGAGTATAAGCACTGCCAGAACCACCCATGAGATGGCATACACCTACAGTAAGACATGAAATATTAGGGCAAGAAAATGCATGAAGGATCAGAAAATATTAAACGCATCAGCTTATATACAGACCCAGAAATTGCTGAACCCGGGATAGACAACAAAGTGCAACAGTTACAAGCATAGGAAAATAGGATGCATTTTGAAGGAATGGGAAGGAAAGCCCATATTAATATAAAATAAACTATTACCGTCAATGACGTACTGTCTCCTTTCACATTTAGCTTGTAGACAATGCCATACTGAAAGATAAAGAATCTCAGACTCAAAATTGTCTCCGCAATCCTACCACCAAAAGTCCGAATATGTGCCTGCAGATGAAATCTCAGGAACATAAACAAGGGAATATAAAAAACTAACACAATAGAGCAACCAAAAAACAAACAATGAAAGCACACAATTTCACTGAGACAGTGATTGAGGAGGTAAACAAGGACAAAAGGCTACAACATTGTAACATAACGGTTCCACAAGATGATGACCCAGTATAAGAAGGGTCTAGATAAGGAAGACATACCACACCCTTGTTTAAGAGGGGCTGCTTACGCAACTTGAGCGTTTACCAAGCTGCTTTGGGAACCCCAACCCCTAACAACCTGGTACTTTCATTAGTACAGTTCCTATTTCAAAAGTATCTGGTACCAGACTTACTGAACTGGTAACTTACCAATCCTCCTTTGTAAAGTATTTTATCTCCTGGGTTATACGAGTGGACATTTTTCCAGAGTTACCAATTGTTATCAATCTACCCTATGGTAATTTTTTGAAGCATATGCTCCTGGGGTGGGGCAGGCATCCACCAGATTCTTTCAAGAACTCCCCATCACAAGCATTCTTATTTTATAGGGTCACCATTAGACTGAAAAATTAATTATTGTCTAGACAGTGCTTAAACAGAAGTTGTCACTAGAAATTAACTTTAACAAGTAAAGCAATTGAAGGGGTAAAAGAGTGAAGATAACTAGGAGGAATCTTGCATCATGGGTATTACCAGTTCTTCCTCCCACCAAGCTTCCCAGCTTTCTTCACCCTTAACTCCAATTCCACCTCTGTAAAGAAGCCAATTTGTCCAATCTCGAAAATCCTCTACAATCCTATAAGGACATATAATGGGTTAACCAATGAAGTACAATAGAATAACAAATTTAAAGAATGTAAATGAAACAGAACTTACTTCTGCCACTCAAAACCAGACGGATTGAACAAATATGGAGCAAAGAGCCAAGAAAGTGCCATAAACCAACTGGTCACTGTGAGAAGAATATATGTTAGAGCACTCCCATCATTATCGCCATAGGCAAGGTACACGACCAACAAAAGCACTACTTCCAATCTGAGAAGAACAAAGTAAACAAGTTAAATAGAACACAAAATCTGAAAACTGCGTTATTTTTGAGATTGGTAGCATTTGCCTTATAAACATGGAATCAAAATATTATTAAAACAGAGGAGAGATAAAACAAAGAAAGTGACAAGGAACCATACCCTTTAACAAAATGACTGCGAGAGTAGAGCCTGTAGTTCTCTGAAAATTTAATGTGACGAACTACAAATCCCCTGCCTGTTGCTTGATACTGTAAAGAAATAAGCATAAATTGATATGTCATCTACCAAAGAAATTAATGAAGCATGAAAAGGAAAGCAGGAAATCAAACCTTTGCACCACCATGAAGAATAGTCCGGCCAAAATAATGAGTTTTTGTACCCAAAGAGAATGTGAAGTAGACAGAACAAAGCTGCAGCTGCATTGTGAGAAAACTGACTATGGCCTGCAGCAGGAGTCAATGGAAAAATTGGAAAATAGTCAAGAAGGGGGAAACTAAACTTTCTTCGAAACATATTATTACCATACCAGAATATACTGAAAATAGAAAAATAGGACCTCCACCAAGTTCCCAAATGTAATGGGTTTTAAGTAAATGTGTACTGCTAATAATGACTTTCATTTAAGAGTAGTGGATCACAACAGTAGTGACAACATCGTTGCTCATACTACTAAAATTAGTATCACAGTTATGGATTTAAGAAAACAGATTAAACTGCATGCCTAAAGTCAACAGATTAATATGAATAAGCAAGCTAGATCACTTAGACCAATTAGAATAGTGTGATTACCCTCAGGAAACCTTGTTCCAAGATGAAGCCTAGAATCATTGGGACTGCAGTGAAGATACCAATTTGGATGAGAAATTGGGTATTAAGAGCAGCAGTCAGCGCTGTATTCTTTGTCACCAAAGCTATGTCCGTCAACCTTGACTCAACACCAGATAATGCCTAAAACAAGAACACGCTTGCCATGAGAATAATTTAGAATGTACATTGTTCATGTGACCCACAAGCACGCACACACTCAAAGGTAAGCATAAAACAAGAGGAGAAAAGAAAAAAGGAAACTTAACTATGCCATGCTTTTATTTTTTATTTTTTATTTTTCGTGAAACCTGTGTCATTCTTTTACATATATAATATAACCAAAACCAAATACATCACAATTGAAGATTAAGCAGATTTAACCTAAAATGATTCCTACAGTACCAAATCTCCACCATCAATGGCATATAAGCTTAAAAATTTGCTTAAACAGACATGCAAGGGTAGAAGTAAACATGCATGCATATATCAGCACAGACTGATGATTACTACTATTAACCACATATGCATAGAAAATGTAGCATGAGGTCAGCAAAAACAAAACCTACCAAATATATTTTTCCATAAAGAAAAACATATACCATCAGCACTGTTAACTGCACAAGCAAAGAAAACAAGACTAGTTAGATATAAAATCAAGTAGCTTAATGACCAATTTATATATATCAATGGAAAACAATTCTATTGGTTAAAGGCAGTAAACATGTGAGTATGAAGCAGTAAAAATAAAAACAACTTGGGATCTTAATACATGGAAAAAGCATTATGATTGATTATTGAAGCCAAACTAGAGACAACAATATTTAAAGAAAGCTCCATTTGGAATAACTAAGATAACTGTTAGGAAGAACTTGTTTGATAATAAGATTATATAAGTACATACCATTGTACAAAAATAGTAGCCAACGGTGGTATAATAAAATGACAGCATCCGGAAAAAATCAAATTGCTGCCCAAGCCTGTATACGTCTCGACTTAGAACTTGTTCACCGTTACCACCAGAAACCTTCCCCTCAAATACAGCAATTTGATTGAGCCCAACATCTCGTCCCTTGCCAACCTGAAAATTGTTATTAGAATCTCACATCCTCGGTCTCAACTCTCAAATGAGAAAAAGAAAAACAAAAGAAACCTACCTGAATATACTCGTGGTGAGTCACATTTCCTTGGCGTAAAGTTGAGTTGAATCCTGCACAACAAAACCAAATGAAGTTTGAATTAAATCCTTTTTAAAAACAATTTGAATGCCTATATTGACACATACGCCGTCAACTAGCTAGCATCTCAATTAGCACTCTAGAAGCAATCCAAGAGATCAAACAATGCCCTGGGGTTAGTCTAAAACTTTAGAAACAAAAATGAGAAAATGAAAAGATGGTTTTTGTCATTCAAATTAAAAAATTTAGGGGATTTAGCAGAAAGCATAACATCAAACACTTGCTGGCAATAAATTGCCAATTTTGTTCTAATTATTGAAGCCCTTAATTTATTGTTTATTAATCCTTAATTCAAGCCCCAAACTTTATCAATAATCCCCATTTAGGGCCTAAGAAAAAAACTCAGTTTTCTGGGTTTTTTAACAAACAATATTAAGTTTTCAGGGGGTGTTTCACTAAGGTATACAGCGTGCAGGAAGACAGTACATGGGGGAAAAAAGTACAACAGCAATTTATCAACCAAGAGTCGTACCTGCAAAGATATCTTCACTAATGTTAATTACACGAGAAGCCTTGCTAATACCACCTCGAGTTAGGTGGAACACTCTATCAAACACATCAGGGTGACCATAATGCATACGGACCCTGTACATGGCCTATTATGTCAGTTTCAAGTCTAGATTTTATAGACCCAGGGACGCTGATAAATACATTGGCATCACACAATGGACTTACTTCAGAGGATTTGCAAGAACACGCTGAGCTAGAGTTACAAAGCTTGCTTCCTGATTGGACATGAATGATGCTAAAGAAGAAACACTGCACAAAATATACACTACTATTTAAAACAAATAACAAATTTTGCTCTATTAAGATAAAACCCAGAGGATACAATTTAAATTCACCTTCCTGTAAAGACATGCTCTCTAACGCCAAGAATTGTAGGGCGTACGGATACCATGATCAGTATGGAATTCTTCAAGTAGGTTTCTCATCTTCAAAGCTTCCTCAAAATAGTTATCCTACAAGAGGACAAAGATTATACACTGTAGTTAATTAGAAAAACAATAGAACATAATGAACAACCTGGACTACAAACTTCTTAAAGATCCTGACAATACTCGTCCACAACCAGAGTTCAAAACACTTCTGTTTTCCAAATAAGCAATTACAATCGACAATACGTTTCCACAATCAGAGTTAACGGCACTTCTGTTATGAATTCTAACTTTTACCAACCAAGATGGAAGGCACATAATATATCACGTAAACCAGTAGTCAACACAAGCATGGTATGAGTTTCTTAGCATTAACCCAAAAATCTCTAGCAGAGCAACACAACACAAAATATCAGATATGAAATAGCAGGAAAAAAAAAAAAACAATTGGTTACCTGATTCATGTCGATTGTCTGAATTGCATTTCCACGAGTAAATACAATTGCATGGTTTTGATTCTCCGGTTTTCCTTCACCAAGTTTCGGATTTCCAGGCAGTTTTATGGAGTAGATTTCCTGTGAAATCCAAGCAATTGTTAACATAAAAGAAACATAATGTCAACAAGAGTGAAAAGGTAACATGTTTTCTAAAGCATATCTATTCTAGCATCCCTCGAACCTAGAACTACTAAATATAGAAAAATTAGTAGGGATAATTAAACGAGCTTTTACTCCATGCATGTAAGACATAAAACTATGTAGTATTAGTAGTTTATCCATTAAAAGTCAAACTAAACAGATAGATCTTGGAAGACAATGACACTTCGATCTCTAATTCTAGATTTCTTCTTTCAAGGTGCCAGAGTTAGAAGATATGGGATTAAGCTTTTATGTATGCATACGGTAAAACTAGTCAATAAATCCAAAAGAGAAAAAAAAATGATAATAATAATAAAACCAAAGAAAGAGAGGCAAAAAATAACTGAACCCTTCAAATCCTAAAAGAGGGTCTATGCTACATAAATTATAAGGCAAAATAAAAAATTTTGAACCTTGTCCTTCCCATTGATATCAGCCTTTACGAGTTTTGAATAGAACTCTCTGTGCACTTTACCATCCTTCAAAGTCTCAACTTCATCAATAAAAGCAACCCGAAGAGCCTCATATCTAACAACAAATTAAATAGAAAAATTATGTAAAGAAGATTATGTCAGGTAGAATTTTTTAAGCATACACCCAACAAAAATACAAACAACTTCATTGGAAAGAATAACCAAAATGTTAGGATAAGGACAAGCAAATTACAGATGCATAATATGTACAAGAACAATAGAAGCAAAACTCCAAAAACAATCAACAAAAAAGGGATACCCGAAAATGGTTAGACAGTAATGACCAATGAGATTGAAGGAATCTAATTCTCAACCATCCTTACTGTTTAATGTTTATTATTAATGACAAAAAAAAAAATTGTTCAAAAACAAATGTTTATTAATCATAAAATGGGTTTCTTATGCGAAGGAAATGGAGGATGGTCTAACTGTATCCTAACACTCCTGTCAAACCATAAGAGACTCTTCAAAGAAGAGAAGAGAAGAAAACAAACTAATCCAATCTAACACTGACCAACCTATCCCCTGATGTTAGACCCAAGTTAATTGAGCACTGTGCAAACTAGCATAAACAAACCATAATACCATTACCATCCCCATCCCACAAAAAACGCACAAAATACACCCCATAGGAATGCAGAAGCCATACACATGGAATTGGGCAATGTGAAAAAGAATGAAAGGTGACTGTTCCATTGATAATTAGTTCATATAACAATTCACCTTTGCATAAGCATTGCTATATCTGCAGCCTCAGGTTTTTGGCCTTCTTTCTGTTTTCCATATATTTGACATGTTACAACATATGTAAACTTTAAGTCAGCATGAGCACGTGCTTCAGGAGATAACTCAAACGCTCGAGTATCAGTTGCGTCATTACTGGAAATTGCACCCTCCACATCTGCTCCTTCTAACAGATAAAGAAATGGATCAAACAGCAGGACAAAATATGAAAAATGAAACAGTAGAAGTAGCAGCTAAGTAGTAGTAGTAGTAATAATAACTGAATGAGAACAAATAATAATAACAAATATACAAAATACGATAAAATGAAACAGTATAAGTAGCAGCTAAGTAGTAGTACTAGTAATAATAACTGAATGAGAACAAATAATAATAACAAATATGCTGCCAACCTCCAGAATTTATTCTCTCCAAATAGGTCTGAAGCATAAGAGCTTTCCTATAATACATCATTCCACGAACTGCAGATCACAGAACTTAGATATTTAGCGGCAAACCCATGAATTCACTAAGACAAGCACACACGCGTTCAGGGGTATTAAATATATAAAATAAACAATGAAAGAAAGAAATGAATTAAATGGAACTCACAAAATAAAAATGTATCTGTGGGAGGGAGGGAAAGAAGGAGAGCGAGAGGGAGGGAGGGAGGGAGAGAAGGAGAGGGGGGGGAGAGACAAGAAACCATGGACATTGATTATGAAAAATATTTACCTGTTCTGGCTAATGTTTGACCTCGGTAAGAGGCCCAAAAACGAAGCTCAAGGATATCAGTGGAATTGTCAAAGAGTTCAGAGTCAAGAGCATTTTCGTCACGGCCAATTCGGGCAAGAAAGTTCTTCCACTCATCTGCCAAGAAAAATGATGTCAAAATATCAGGCAAGGCCGGAAGACAACATCTACTATCAAAACCATAAACTTTACCCATAGTGCAACTGTGCAAATGAAATACACATCTAAATGAAACAAACAAGGATGTATAAAAGAGATAGAAACAGAAAAAGAACAAGAACAGGGGTGAGGAGGGGTGGATGTCAACCCCCGAGATGGAGCACTAGGCTCAGTAGATGAAAAAATTGAGAAAATAAAATACTGCATAAAACGCATATGGTTTGAAACAGGGAAAGGAAGAAACACAATAACCTAAGAGTCTAAGACAAAGCTGGCCAGGATGACTGTTTCAGTAATTCAACCTCTTGTAAATCTAACAAATAAACTCTAAAATATCACCTGAGCAGACTGTGAGAAGAAGAAACCATTAACCCCAACTTAGGACACTTAATTGTGCACATAAGCACATCAACTACATCATAAAGCACAAAGAAACAAGAATAAGATCCTCAGTAAAGGAATCAAAAAACTACCTGGATAAATTTTTTGAAGGTAAAATAATATTGATATTCCATCCTCATTTTTCTTCTGGAGCTCAGCCATACTATACAGCACAATCTCAGCATAGTATGGAGTAAACACACTGCATGCACATGAAGAAAAAGATGAGAAAGGCAGGCATATGAAGCACACCAATCTTACAGAAAAGGAGATGAAGAATGTATTACCTGAACGATAACATCTCACGGACTGGCTTTGCTGCAGGCATCTCCATAAAAAGGGAATTTGTGAAGAACTCGAGCCTGCGTCTTGCCTCCAGATTTTTAGGTACATTGGCAGCCGAATCTTTAATGGTTAACAGTGAATACAATCTTTTGACTTGCGATCTCTGCATATCCTCGATAATTAAAAAGAAGCAGAAGCACAACATACTACTGAACATTAAACGTAAACCCAACTAAGGAGGTCAGGTAATCTACTCAAACATACCAACTCAGGGTCCTTAGGCCACTTCAACTTTGCAAACAGACGACCTTCTGTCCTTGCATTTAACAACAATTTCCATGTCTCATAGTTTCCCCTAAAATTGGCAGCCAATAAAGTGATATAAGTAGACTAGAATCAAGCAATGGAAACACTATCCGTACACATACATGTTTAACTGACCTCAGGTCCATAGAAAGGATGTCATGGTGCACAACATCATAAAGATCTTGAACAGCCTTAACTGCACCTTTCTCCAGTTCAGGTGTTCCCCCTTCTTTCTGTGCATTATATAAACGAAGTGGTATTTGAGTAAAAAGAAATCGATATACCAGAATAAAGCACAAACAAATAACTATACGACGATACCAATTTTTTTGTAATTAGAAGAAAAGAAAACTCAGAAAGATAATTTAAATTGTAGAAAGTTGCCTTCCCAAACGTTACACAACTATCACTCGCCCAAACAAAGAGGACAAAACCCTGTTCAAGATTCCCATCGAAGGTATTTCTTACTTTCAGACCAAAAGTCTAAACCCATTTGAAGAAAAAAACCTTCCACCCCATTTCCCTTTTATGTTCCTAAATGCAAAGGTTAGGTATAACAGTTAAATGAATTGTCATATGCACACATGTACACACATACAATGAAAAGACATAACTTAAACCACTTGGCAGCATTGTCCTCACAACTGGAAACTTAATATCAAATATATACTTTTATAAAAACAAGTACCACATCCAAGCAAGAAGGGGTTGATCATAAGAAACATTAACAAAAATAGAAAAGAAGTGCCCTGATACATATATGTAGCTTGAAAACATATCTATATAATTATAAACAACACATCTAGAACAATAGAATAAGGCTACGGAAATTAGGAGACATCATCTGACAAGGTAGCAAAGAACCTATCTAGCTACCCAAGACATCAGCCAGTACAAAAGAAATGGGAAAAAAAGAGTCCGCCTCAGCAACCTAGATGTTCCATGGACAGGCAACATGACTCTATTCACTATATTAGTAATGAGATTGAAACAACATATCCATTTATAAAAACCAGAATTACATCAAGGAACCAATAAAGAAATACAAACCAGAATTCCCATTAATGCAGTAACTCTTGATATCACAAGTGGCAGCTTAGTCAGTTGATAATCAACATGAACAGTCTTCTTCTCTATGCTTGCATGAATATCCTTGTACACCTGTTCAATCCTGATAAGATGGGATAGAATTATATAAATTTTTCCCTACACTCAAAACATGTGCTCATTAAATGGGAGCTCATATTAGAAGCATTCTTATCTTCAAACATAAACTTACCACTTCCCTCCTTCGCCTTCCAATATTTCATCTAAGATTAGCTTAATGATGTGGAAGCACTCCTGGACGGCATACTTCATATAGTCATCTCTTGAAATTCTCTCCCAAAGTTCATCTTGTGAATCTCTGCTCTCAACAGCAATATCCTTGGCCACAAATATCTACATAACCAAATATTAAATACAATAAAAATTTTGAAGTAGTATTTTACCCCAAAAAAAAAAAAAATTGAATGTACAATTAGAATGTCTTGAAACTGAGTGCACGTTAAAAATTAAAGAACTGGTGACCTTGCTAGAGAGAAGAAAAAGGGGCCACTGAACCAAGGGAAGATTTCCAGAGTTTTTAGGCATGGCAAGCAACTCCATTTCTCTGGAAGAAAGTAAAATAACTGACTGAGTAATCGAAAGAATGTGCAAAAGTACAGTAAAATCACAGGAATAATTTCAATACTCACAAGTTGGTGATATAATCTTCTTCCCTCAAATTTCTTATAATCTCATTCCAAAACGGAGAGAATCTACCAGCATCAACCTTGTTCTTCTCAAGGTCCTTGAAACACACACCGTATAGGTAAATTTTGCAATGGACTTAAATAAACCATTAAAGTAAGTCATAATTGATTCAACATATTTCAGCTAGGTAAAAGTAAACAATGATTAGTTAAATTTATCAACTAGTAATAGGTGACTTCTTTTCCCCAATTTTACAGGCTCACCTCACTGGAAGGCTGTTGGGAAGTCCTGCCAGAAAAAAAAAAAGAAAAAAAAAAATCTTTTAGTTTTAAAGACTTGAGATAAGATAATAAAAAAATTGTGGTATTGCTGATTATATGAAAAAAATCAATCAATTGAATGAAATACATATATATAACCTGTCAGGAAGAGGCACATGAAGATTGTTCATAAAAGCTCCAGGAAATTGCTCAAAAAGTTGATGAAGTGCTTCCAGTGATCTAATCTGGAGATTATAATACAGATATTAAACATTTCAGCAAGAATTAATAAGAACTCAACAGGATACTGCTCTAGTGCCAGCTGAAATAACAACAACATCTGACCTCTCCAAGTCGATCTCTTGCTCCAAGCAAGAATCCCCACACACCAGATATAATGGTGTAAAATACATGGATATCTAAAAGATAAATCTGCACGAATAGACCGGATCATGGTCAGGTGAAAGAAAGGAAAACTAACACGCACTAGTAAATCGGAATTGAGTTATTCCTCTGATCTAAAGAATATATAAAGGCCTCAGAACAGAAGTCTAGTTTACTTTTAACTTGTAGCTGCCATTAAAACTACTTTAAGCCCCTAATGAGAAACTTCAAAAGCTGCTTTAATTTGGAATGAATCACACGTTAACTCAACCCTGATCTCATAAACTCCATAGTTATTAAAAGCGTGAGGCGTGGGCAAGGCGTCCGAGGGACAGCCCAACCTACGCATGAGGCGTGGGGTGAAGCCTCACGGGACCTAAATTTTTTAATAAAAACACTGAGCATACACATATATTATATTAAAAAAAGGAAGATTATTAATCAATAATCACCCTGAGCACACACACATATATATATACACATATTATATTATATTATATTATATTATATATATATATATAATAGAGGATGAAAAGCACAATGAGCACACATAACAATGCACGCAGACAGCACACACATCCATTATATAAAAAACAAAAAAAAAAACCCTAAGGTATGCCTAGGCCGCTCCGGCAGCGCCTTCTGCCGCCTTCTGCCCACTCCCTCAAAACAGGGGCGGCAACCCTCACGCCCAGCCTCAGAGGACGCCTAGGCGCACCCTGAGGCAAGCCTTTTAAAACATTGTTTAGTAAGCACAAAAGTGCAGGACTGCAGACTTGAGTGAATAAAAAATCAAAATAATAATGTTGATAATAGAATTCCAACTTACAAGTATCACAGGAGCCCATAAACTAGCAATTGTCAAGGCATTATGATTGTCTGCAAGCATACAAAATTAATCAGTTTGAAGTATGATTGGGAAAAATTAGTGTTTTCACTAAGATTAAGATTATAACCAAGAGATCTAATTACCAAAATAAATGTTTTCTAACTACAATCCATCTTCCGCATATATGCTATTATAAAATTAAAGATAAAATAACACATTAGACAGCTTAATGGAAAACAAGAATCATAACATCGTTCCAAATTTCACTTGCATTCAGAATCCTGCTTTAAAAGGCATCAGTTTACAGAAGACACATTTACATATAAATAAAAAAACCATAAGATTCTCCATTTTGCTTTAAACTTAACTATTGAAGTTTTTAAATGTATTAATTCAGTGCAGTTACAAAACAAATTAGAAATAAAGTATATTTCAAAGTATCAAACTTTAAATAAAATATCCATCGAATGAGAGACCAGTTGCTTACTTTCAGAAACTAAGTCATGCCAAGTATAGCGTATAGGAGACATTGTCACAATTGTCTTAGTTGGTTTCACTAATGGCTTGATCTGTAAACCAAAGAGAACTTTTAGAAAGCAATATTTAGCACAAAAGGGAAAAAGAAGTTGATTCACAATCATTTAAATAACTAATTCACGAACAACACTGCCACGGAAAAATGTTCAACATAACAAACCTGAAGAAAATAAGCAAATGAAAATTTTCCACTCAAAATCACAAGCCAGAAAAGCATATACCTGCAACAAAACAAGAATAAAAAATCTTAGCAGCACACAAGTGGGTTTAAACATCAAATTACCAATGCTATTTGAATTTGAATACCTGTAAAAAGAGAACAAAGAACACCAGAAGGATCCTGACTTTAAAACCCTTGAGCTTTTTAATCAACACCATTATATGTTTAAATACTTAATATAATTCTTTTTTTATACTTTTGGTAAGTAAGCATAGTGAGCATACAGCATTCAATAAGAGACAACACTTGTTATTATGTTCATACAAAGTTTCCAAAAAAAATTAAACTTAAGAGAGAATTGTGATTTTGGGAGTACTTGATAAAATCAGTGGTCCTCTCATACATCCCACGTCCAACATAATGCCGTTCCTTGAAAATCAACATAGGAAACAATAAACAAATGGATCAGTAAAGCAGATCATCATATGATGGGAACACAAAAATCAAGGCATAAAGAACAAAAAGGGAAAGTTGTGAGATTAAAACCTGGCGCATCCACTTGAAAAAACGAATCAGAGGAAAGCGATCACATTGATTAGTCAGATTGTGGCAGGCTGGTATTCTCATAAAAAAGCTAATGAAGAACTGGATACCAGCATATGTGCCTATAATGATCACATACAGTCTATAAATAACTGAGTTTCCATTTGGTTTACTCTCTTCCTGGAGAGCTTTCCTGAAAGGCACAGAGATAGAATGTTACCAATGATTAAAAATCATTAAAACAAAGCTTCAAAGATAAGAAATAAAAGCATGTAAAACATGTTAAATAATAGACGTGGTTAGGAAATTACACATAAAGAAAAGTTATGACCACTGATGCAGCGCTAAACCAAACAAATCGGAGAAAAATTCGAGAAACTGCTAGGCGCCTTGTTGTAGAATATGCACCATACATCATGCGTATGTCAAGAACACCTACACAAGAAGTATTTTCTCAGATACTGAAGGAACTCTAGTACTGTGCAACAAAAAGAAATGCCTTTTCTGACTATATTTGGCTACAACACTTAAATATTATAAATTTTTACGAGACTGAGACAGTAAAGAAGCAACATCAGCCCATTAAGAAGAGAAACCCTACTCTCAAGAAATTTCATTGCCACAAATGTTGGACCAAGGCTGAGAACTTCCCGAATACACTTCGAATCAAGCTTTCCATTATTGAATGCAATTATGGTCAATCCCTGAAGGTTCACAGATAAAGCATATTTATTACAACAGCAATCATAAAGCACAAGGAATTTTAACAAATCGCGACAAAAAACATTGCAAAACAAAACATAACTGGTATTAAAGAAAAGTTACAATTATAAAAGAAGGGAAACCCAGACCACAGAAACACTGGAGAACGACATTTACTAGACAGACAAAAATAATTTCTGAACAAGAGGAAATTATGAAGGATTATTCACTGTTCTTTGCTTTCATTTTTTCCTTTTGGGTAGCCAGCAAGTGGCATGGGTATAACCAATGGGGTAAGGAAAACAAGGCCACATAAAGATAATTTATAAGAGAAATGAAATAAGGCATGCAAACCTGAAACATCATCACAAGGAATATCCAAAGACGGTGGAAACTATGGTATAGATGGAGAAATGTCCTGTGCTCAACAAATGAAGTTTTTCCTCGATGTTGACTTCTGCCAGATTTAAGTATATTCTGTAACAAATATGGTGTGTATGTTAACCACATGTATAGCAATATGTAATATACAAAACAACAAAACAGGCTTTCATTTTGGCCAATTCAGAGGTAGGGATATTCAGGCATAGCTGAAAATTTTAGGGACTCCAAATGGCTTTCAATTACTAAATGTAAGATTACTATAAATTCTTATGATTCTAAATTTTCTTTTTTTCTTTTTTTTTCTTTTTTTTTCTTTTTTGAAAATTTAGAACATTTAAGACTTTCTATGTCAAGATAGGGTTTAGGGACTCCAAATGCCTTTCAATTACTAAATGTAAGATTACTATAAATTCTTATGATTCTAAATTTTTTTTTTCTTTTTTTTTTCTTTTTTTTCTTCTTTTTTGAAAATTTAGAACATTTAAGACTTTCTATGTCAAGATAGGGTTTAGGGACTCCAAATGCCTTTCAATTACTAAATGTAAGATTACCATATATTCTTATGATTCTAAATTTTCATTTTTTTATTTATTTTTTAATTTAGAACACTTAAGACTTTCTTATGTCAAGATAGGTAATAATTTTTAATTATTTTCAATGTCAAAATTTCTAACAGAGTATTTTCTAAAAATTCAGTTCTTAAGCTGCCCACTGAAGAAAACAATATGATTCCAAGGTCTTGACTAACTCATTAAATCAATGCACTTGTTTCAACATGCATTAAGTACATACATATAATGAGAGAAAATAATCAACCATGTTCCAACAAGTAAAATTATATATTATCAGGCAAGAAACCCACCTTTGACCTTCGTACTGGCTTTTGAAAAAAAGATGACACTCTGCGCCACGGCCAACTAAGTTCAAAGCAATGAAGTGACCTGCATATAAAAGTTGGTTAGCCTTCAAGGTGTGAACATATGTTACATGGCACAATCATGCAAATATCTTACCAGAAGTACTCATTGAAATCATCATAATTGCGCCAGGCAGAATGTGGTGCTTTTCCATTATCATTGTTTGCAGCTTCCTGCACATAGTTGTAGATTAGGAGACCATTTTGAAATAATCACCATAATCTTGTTAGTAACTGATAGATCAATGAGAAGACAGTAAGGATGAAAAAGAAGAACATCCCAATAAGACCTCCCAGAGACGTACCGCAGCCACAACCTCATAGAGAGGATAGATAACTTGGTCAAGAAAAGAAACTTCTTTGTCAGAAGTACAACTGTTTGCTGGCTGTGCAATCTGCTGCCTTAGAATTTCATCCATTTCCCTTACCATCTGCACATTACAATTTAGGGTTCAAAAGAGAAAGAATAATTTTCAGAAACAAAATACAATTAGAAAGTTGGAAAGACCCACACAATAACAGAGCATGCTAAGCAGTGATAAAAAACTAAAATTCAAATGCCAGAAAAAAAATCAGGAAACAATTAAAAAAATAAAGTTTCAGAAAGTTTATAAAGGTCAAAAGGATGAACAAGCTTTTCAAATTTGACACCAAGCTTTTTCAAACTAGGGTTATTCCTAAGAACTTCTGAAAGTAGAAGAGAAAAGTAAACTCCACAATGACACAACCAATAGGAGAAATAGCACAATCCCATGAAAATGGGATATGCAATCACATTATAAAAGTCATTGCATCTCTTAGCATGCATATCACGTTTGGACAAACTTTAATTCAGTGAGGAAAAGAAGACAAAATTCATAACACACTTTTATACGTGAAAACAAAGGACACGTCAGAAATAGTGATCGTATATTGCAATTGATTTGCTCCACCAACCACAATAAAATTGCATGGAACTGTGGACAAAGAAAAAAACTACAGACAGGAACAAGCAGACCAACAACCAAGTCCACCACCAAACTTCATAGCATCAAGTAACTAACTCACATGATGAAATATGTAGCACAAGCATTCAGGAAGGAATCTAATATTGCCTGATTCACCCCAGATCAGAAAGTACAGAGAAACAAATAGCAATTTTTTTTCCTTGGTAACTGCCTCCAAACTGCACAAAAATGACTTATTCAATGAGTCTCTATCATCAAACTCCTTTCTATAACATAATTTACAACAATAAGAAAATCAAGGAACAATCAGAAAGGGTGTTAAATCAGGTCTAGGTCCATACTTGCTCCAAACTGGCTGAATGCATAAGTAGTCACACCATTTAATATAGTTCTCGAGGGACTTCAGAAATACACTTTGTGCTGCAGCCTCGTCCAATTTCTGCAGCAATGTAAAGGCACAACATATGGACTGAATGTAAATCTTCCCAAGTATTGTAAAAAATTTAAGTAATCTTTTCATATGAAATGAAGTTTTATCAACAGAAAATGGTGAAAGTGCATATGACGATGACATATGCCTTGTCAGCCCAGAATGGACTAGCATACAATACAGATATTTAACTTAAGTACAATACAGATATTTAACTTACAGCTTCAATTACTTCAGGAATACGAAGCCGAGATTGCTCATTTGCGAGAAGGTGAACAATATGTTCGCGCTGGTTAGAGACATTATCTTTCTGGCACACAACAAGAAACATCAAGTCTCAGAAAATTACTGGCATCATAGTGCTTTGGAACTAAATCAGACTATCAGATTAAATATGGAACGAAAATTCAGTTCCAAAGTAAAAGGAACAGTAACTAATAATAACGTTAACAGCTTAACACAGTTCTTATAATTTTATAGAAGAAACAAAATTGAATGTTTTTCTTTTTTGTTCAAAGAAGCAACAATTTTTATGCAGAAGACCGACACAAAAAGTTCACATAAAACAGAAGACCAGATGTCCACTTCTCCACAGTGCAACATAATTGTGAATAAAATCATTCATGGAAGCAAGGATGTCCTGGGTAAGTGGCAGTGGAGTGTTGAGATGGTAGCATTTACTTAACTCAGGCCACTAACCAAATTGTCAATATGTCCCATAAGATTTCTTGAAATAGAGAAAGTAAAATTCAAATTAAGAACTTGGTCGAAACTTGAAACCTAAGGAAGACAAAGACAACATTTGGATTCAGAGAAAAAGTGTGATCAGGCATGCAATTACCTGAAATCCAAAAGTATAATGCAGAAAATCAAACATGTCTGGATCTCTTGTAGCAGGGATTGGAAAATCTGATGGCAATTTTGGTAGGTTACTGAAGTACTTTAACGCTGACACTGCTGCTTGTACCTGGCCATTATTTTCTTTGATTAAAGTAAACACTAACCATAAGATGTTAACTTAAATCATGTAAGTAATAAACCAATTACCTCAGGCAAAGAAACAATAGAATTTGTAATGTTGGGAGCATCCAGAGGAATAATATTGTAGGCAATTAGGTCCTCGGTCATTGCCGCATCTGATTCCATTACCCGTTTCAACTGCAATATAAAATAGATATAATCAATTCTGCAACTAGACGTAGGAGATAGATACAACAGGTGGAAATATAACAATCATGCGCCAGACAGGAACATAAAAAATGAAATAGTAAATTTGACACTTGTTAAGATTGAAGTGAGTATTTTTTTTCAACAACTTTGTGTTTTGTGCTTTGTGCTTTGTTTAGTCAACAAGGGCTGAACATTATGGCTTTGATAAGCACTAGTTGGCTGAAGAGAGCACACACAACTCGAGAAAAAAAAAAAAAAAACCATTAAAAAACATTAATTTAAAGCAACCAACAAAACACCTCATTAGGAATGACAAGTAACCGTTCAGGGGCTATAGTGATTGTGTGGGTTGGAGACTAAATAATATGATTATGAATCTATGATGCAAGCATGGTCCATAAAGAATAAGTTTGCATTAAACATATGTAACACTATAAGACCAACCTCTTCAGGAATTTCCTCAGTCAGCTGCTCCAAAACTATCCCTAAAACTCTTAGAGTTGCAAAAACTCTTTTCCGCTTCACTGTTGTTTTCTCTAACCTGTTTAAACAAATAAAGGTGACCAAATCAAGTTTTATTTCATAGAAGTCTGAAGAGTAGGGTGGGCAAGTAATTCACCAGTAGCAGAAATAAAAAGCACATTAATACAGGAAGCTAAATCAATATGAAGGCAAAGACTAATCAAGACACTACAGCCTTTCAGTATAGTATATTGCTCAATAGAGATATATTCCTAAAAATAGGAGATAAAAAGCACTGCCCAATATTTGACCTCTTCCCACACCTCCTCAGCTTCCGTCCCACTAACAACTTCAAATATCCGTTAATTTCTTTCTACCATGTAACCCAAACAATAACAATACCCATCCAAGGAAAACATGATAAGTGACAGTTGTTAAATGAAGGCTATTGAAAATATTCTTAATATAATCTTACAGATAATCATGAACGAATACATGCATCTAAACTTAAAGCCTCGTGTATCAACATTGGAAATCCATTTAATAGTAGAAAAAATTATAGGCAGAACTTATTAGATACCAGAGTAAAGACATCACAGTGTAATGAACAGAAAATAAGCAAACAAATAAAACACATCTTTGGAGTCATATTGGGAACGGAGAAACTTACTCGCCCAGGTTCCCGCTGAAAGCACTAGACTCCCTCAACTTCATTTCTTCCTCCCGCAGCTTTTCTACATTATTCTTCTGTCTGTACAGTTTGTAGAACTCTTGCAAGCGAGCAATGTCCTGGCTTCTATCTATGGTTCCACTTTCCTTCTTTGCTAGCTTTTGCTGGAAATTTGCACAAGGGGACAAACAATTTCAATTTAATAGATTACAAAACATAAGCACATAAATTCTTTTTGATAAAGAGATGATAAGTACATTTATAAGGCTTACGAAAAGTAAATACACATTTAACAGCTCCAAACTCCCCCCCCCCCAAACCCCAAAAAAAAAAAAATAATTCTGCCTTCATATGAAAATATACCTTAATGACAGACATCAATCCAGTCTTGAACTGTAAAACTCCCCTTCCTTCACTATTGGGATCCAGATTCTGAGCCAGAGAATAAGCATGCTCACATACTGCAGGGGGACAATCAACGCATTCAAATTGTGAGTTGCAACCATAGAATTAATTATTTTGCAAGATATACAGGTTTTTCACCACCAAATTACAGCAACAACTGAGTTTTAGATGATTCCCCATGTTCAAATATTTTTTTAAGCTAAACGAACCAGAACAGAACTGCCATCAGCCAATCTGGTCTGACAAAATGAGGGGCACTATTTTAGAGATTTAAAAGGTATTTTTTTCATGTAGATCTTGTTTCCTTTTGTGTAAGAAATTCCAAGTGAGCTGTTTGAGCTTCTTTCTAAAAGCAGTTATGCACTTCAGGAATGGCCTCCTAGTGTAACTCACAACAACTGAGGAAAATATTGAGTTGATTTTTTTATTTCTCATCTCATATGTGGATGGGTAAGCATGCTCAATCAGTTTTATGCGTAATGCAATTTTGAATATATCTTGGTTCTTAGTAGCTTAAAATCTTGCATAACTACATGTCATGCAAAAAGCCACAACTCTAGTAGGAATAAGCTAAAAACTAAAACAATTATGAACTTTTAAGACCATGAGAAAGGCCACAGCAGTAGCGGAAATGTACAAGGTGGGTTACTTTGCTTCTCATCAACTCAGACGATCATACTTTTGGCCCAAAGAAACCAAGTACTCAATCCCCCACCCCAGCTACCAAAGTATCCTCGCTGATTCTTATGTCACATTTAGGAAAACAAACTTAATTTCCACAACCCAAGCAAGCTACAAAATATAAATCAAAATCCGAAGTAAAAAGTACAAAAAAGAAGTGGGTAACATACAGATTCTGGAGATATTGGGATCTTCGGCTTGGATTTCATCAGCAGCTCTCAGAATTTCATCAATATCCCTATTGTTTGCAAGTGAGGAAGGAACATTTCCAGCAATTCCAGTAGCATGCCGGCCATACGCATCAGCCCCCATCCTCTCCCTGCTCAATACGGCACGGACTAGATGCTCCCATCGCTGCTCAACTCGAGACATTTTCTGCAAAACAGCGAGTAAAATCTCGAGAAAATTCCAATGGCGTTGCACTGATTTTCTCGGCAACCAAACAGACAGATATACATACATACATACATACATACATATATATATACAGAGATAGATATACAGTAGTAGCTAAAGTGAAGCAAAATTCATGGAGAATCGGCGTACCAGATTTGGGAAATCAATCAGTTCATAGGAAACCCTAGAAGGCCGAGTCGATGAAGAGTTGAATCGGTCTCCAGCTCGGACGACGTTGTTTGAAGGTGGTGGGAGGAAATGTGGGTTTTGAAAAATGAAAAGGGAAAGCGGAAAGGGCAAAAGGAATAAGGGAGGAAGAAAAATGGATCTGACGGGTAACCGGTTTGACCGGGTACATCCGGTGAGAGAGTATGGGTTTTGGGTTTGGTGACTGGTCGCGGCCGGTTCTCGAATTGACGCGGAGAAGAAATCTCCCGTGGACGCGTGACCCAATCCATGTATTCATCTAGAGACTCACCTATCCATATTGTCAACGGCCCAAAAGATTAATTTGCATTAACAACGTAATTACCACCTTCGAAGATAAGGAAAATCGGTAGTCATCGTTTCGGACTCACGTCGTGATGTAAGAACAACACTTATTTGATAAAAGGTCACTTGCAATCGGTAGTCATCGTTATTGTTGGTTTTTTTTGAGGAAAGTATTATCTTATGCATTTAACGAGGTTATCATCGCATTACGCTGCTCAAGTTAGGATTAAAATTTTTTAGCTTTTTAGCCAAAATGGTCCTTGAGATTTACATAACTTCTCATTTTGGTCCCTGAGATCTGAAATCAATAGAAGTGGTCATTGAGTTGTCCACCATCAATTATTTTGGTCATTCCTTGAAAAATCTCCATTAAATAAAGATAAAATGATAAAACACCTTCAATTTTTGTTAAATCATTTTGGCCCATTATTTATTAAATAGAGGTTTTTTTTGTCATCTGGTCCTTAATTTTCCAAGGAAAGACTCAGGAACCATTTTTATTGATTTTAAATCTCAATAACCAAAGTGATAAGTTATACAAATTTTAAAGATGATTTTAGTTAAAAAGACAATTTTTTTATTATTTAACTGAGGTTACCGGTTTATTAAGCGCTCATTTATCGAGATTTCCATGTATGCAAGTGGTTACGATTTTCAAAATGCGTCAGGAAGTTATATATTTTGCACTGTGCCTAGAAGTTTAAAATTTGAAAATTGCGGCAATTTACGGAGTCAACTTTTTGGGACATCTAATCGTCCACTAAAATACAGAGCAAATCTGACTTGCATGCTAGCCCACATGAGGGTCTCCAGATCACATTGCTAGGGGATACGGTCTTCCATCTGCTTGATCATACCGCATTTGAACCCGAAACGTAATGAGTTAAAACGGAATACCATATCAAAAATATGCAAGGGTGCAAGTAGATTGATGATTCAGCGAAGAAGTCTTTCATAAATTAGATACATGCATCTTAAGATCTGAAAACTGACGGGGTTGCAGTCAGTCAAGCGGACCTAACAAAAATGCAACCCAAACACAAATAATTACAACGCATATGAACAAGATATTGTTTAGCTGAGGCTGGCAGTGGTGAGGCAATCGAAATATTCGCTCGAATTTCGCTCTTGTTACTAGTAAGGTTACTCCTTGTTCCGGGATGAGCGATCCTTGCGTTGCCCGCCAAGAATACGAGAAATCTGCAAGCCTCTGCTGAACGCTTGGTTGAAGAGCATACGAGTCTGGAATTCAGAAACAAAAGGAAACCAGGCCAAGAATGCAACCGGGGTGAATAGAAGCAGGCCCATAACTATCTCAAAGCCGCGAGCAAGAGTCCGAACCGATGGCCATAAACCAGCTTTGTGCACGACAGGCTTGCAAGCTTGTGCAATCTGACAAGAGACGGGGAGCACAAAATCGCATTAGGAAATTCAAGGACAAAGAGATGCACAAAAGCACTGTCGCTATATCGGAGTGGATACATATACTGAATTAAATTAAGGCAAGACGGGAGCATTCACTCACCAGAAGCATTCCCCAGCCAGTTGGCATGAAGGCAAGAATGCAGACGAGGATATCCTGCAGGGTCATGTGAGGCAGCACAATCAAAGTGACCAAAATGGACACAAAAGTATGAATATCAGTCCCTTGATCAGCCGGAACACAAGTTGGAATTCTGCACTGAACTTTCGCCTCCCAACAGATACAGTCTGCAGAGAAACATAAACAATTAAATACAATTAATGGGAATACAATTTCGTGAATCGACCTTATCTTGTGGCCTTTATGTAAATATTAATAATTATGCAAACTTGACACTCACCTTCATAACGAACAAAATGAGGACGATCACCAGCCACGAAATGCCATAGACCTGTTAACAAGTAAATACAATATAATGATAAGTTCACAATTGCCAAATCCCTAGAAGAAAAGAAAGAGGAATTGAGAGAGTGACCAGGTTAATTATTTACCAGAACACTCTTGTTGTTCTTTGCGATGTTCAAGTGATACACGAGCCCATACTGATAAACAAAGAACCGTAAGGATAACAGTATCTCAGCTACAATACCGCGTTTTCCAGAATATTGGAGATGCTCTTGTTCCTCCTCCCACCATGATTCCCAGCTTTTTTCAGGTGGAACACCTATACCCCCACGGTTGCTTATCCACTTATTCCAATCCGTCCAATCATCAACAATCTTTTGCCACTCAAAGCCAGATGGATTGAACAGAAAGGGAGCAAACAGCCAGGTGCCCACCATAAACCACATAGATACAGTAATCAAAATGTACGCAACAGCACTTCTATAAGTATGACCAAAGATCTGGTACACAACGAGTAAAATTAAGAGCTCAATGCCCTTAACGAAGTGGCTGCGGGAGTAAAGCCTATAGTTGTCAGCAAATTTGGCATGGAAAACCACAAAACCTCGGCCTGTAGATCTATATTTCGCACCACCATGAAGTAATGTCCTTCCATAATAGTGGGTCTTCGTTCCAAGTGAAAATGTGAAAAATACTGGGGCCAATTGTAATTGCATCAATACGAATTCACTTAGTGCAGTTCGGAAACCCTTCTCCAAACCAATTTCCATCAACATAGGCAACGCCATCAAAAATCCTATTTGAACAAATGATTGAGAAGCAAGGGCCACTTGCAGAGGCTTGTTGTCTCTAATTGCCCGTTCCGTGCTCATACCCTCTTCAAGTCCACTAAGAACCAGATAAAGGCGTCCATAAAGGAAGACGTACACAGTAAGCACAGTGATCTGCCAGAAAAACATACTTCCTTGTTCAGAACTTTTGACAAAATACCTAATTTTATTCTTAATTCTTAAAGACCCAAGTACATAAAAGTTGAAATTGAAACTTAAGGGCAACGTACCAGAGTACTGTAGTAGAAACCAATTGTGGTGAAATAGCAAGACATCATTCGGAAAAAGTCAAAACGGTGTCCAAGTCGGTATATATCTCGACTGAGTGTCTGCTCCCCGTTTCCATTAGCTATTTTTGCTTCGAACATAGAGATCTGGTTAAGGCCCACATCTCTTCCCTTCCCAACTTGTATGTACTCGTGATGAGTTACATTGCCTTCACGGAGTGTGGAATTAAAGCCTGCATCCCATCCCATAGTTATATTATAATTGCCCACTCATAATGATAACAGATAATGTTCACTCAAATGCCTCCAGCTTACCGGCAAATATGTCTTCACTCAAATTAATAACCTTGGATGCTTTACTGACACCTCCTCTGGTAAGGTGAAAGAGCCTATCAAACACATCGGGATGACCATAATGAAATCGAACCCTGGATGAGCAGAAACATTAAATTAGAAAAACTTAAGAATAGTCGAATCATAAAAAGCAGAAAAGTTAGCAAACTGAAAAAAAAAATGAAAAAGGTAAAGAAATTAAACAAATGCAAGCACACACTTGTGCACACGCTAATAACCCAGTACTCAATATTTGGCTGCCATAAGTTTTGGTTTCAAGATTTTCTTTTCCCAAAATTTAAAGTGGACATTATGAGGTAATATAACTTACTTGAGCGGATTGGCCAACAGTCTCTGACCAATAGTGACAAAACTGTTTTCCTGATTTGACATGAACCATGCTAGAGAAGAAACACTGCATAGGATCAGGAAATAATGTTACTGATAACTCGCAATCATCAGTTTGCAATACAGCAATACACCCTTGGTAACAACACAACACCTACCTTCCAGTGAATATATGCTCCCTAAGCCCAAGAATTGTAGGATACCTAACCCCATCATGCTTCTCGAGAAATTCTTGCAGCAAATTCCTCATTTTCAAGGCTTCTTCCATGTAGTTATCCTACAAGATGGGTCAGATTAATTAACATTGCACATTGGGATACACGCACATTGCAAAAGTATTGAACTAATATATTATCCACCAACATTTTAACTTTGTACTTCAAAAACTTATTCAGTCCAGCCAATCATCATTGTCTAAACTTGCTACTTAGGAAAGTAAAATCCTGGATTCCAGAGTCTTTTGATAACAACCACCATACCTGGTTCATATCAATTGTTTGCAATCCTTCTCCACGTGTGAAAATAATGGCATGATTTTGATTTTCTGGTTTTCCTTCACCCAAAATAGCAGGTCCTGGAAGCTTTATGCGATAAATTACCTGTGTATAGATAGATACCACTACAATTTAGCAAAGGATGTTAAAGAGTTTAAATATGATAAAACCTAAAAAGCAAATAGCATACAATTATATGTGACATGGCCTGCTTAAGGATAACAGTTCAAAAATTCAAAATACTTATATAAACAAGGTTCAAAGAGTGGACTAACCACTTAAGAATTACAAATCTGTTCCACAATTTACGTTTAAATACGAAACAAAACTGTCACATACTAAAAAAGGTACAAATTAAGTGAACAAGGAGTCCACTTCTAAAACAAAACCAAAACATGGAATCTACAAAATTCACTCTAAAACACGAACAGCAGCTCAATAAAAGTAAAAACAGCCGGTGACCAATCTGATAAAATAATAGAAAAGAACAGCCTAAATTCCAAATCAACAGATGCCCATAAATAAGAAATAGAAGCCTTTTTCACAAGTATACCACCTCCTCACCCTTCACAAGCTACAAATCTTAGTCATTATTTACCTTAAGGCAATTGCCCTTGTAAATAATACGTCTTGCCAATGTTCACAATAAATGTGAGAACAAAAATGAATTAATCTACCTTTGAGACGGATACATAACCATAATCTGTTTATGACACTATAACTTATTTGCCTCACAGACTAGCAATGTCACAAACAT